CAACATGAAAAGCTTCAGCTTTATATGTTTGAGCCACTTCACTTAAAATCACAGGACAAACAAAGCATGTCACCCTTTAATCTGAGTATAATTGATTTCAATTTGTCCCTAATTGGCAAGGAAGAATCTGCTCTCCAATCCATTAGTCCTGAGTTAATACATGTAGAATCTATTGGCAATAACATGGCTTTGGGCATCAGAGGGTTTCTGGTTTCTGTTCGTAGTCTGAGTATTATGAGCCATTAGCATTTCAGCAAGCTTTATTTCACGCTGGCAAATGATCTGTGTGGAGAGCAAAAGAGGTGTAAGCCTGAATTCTATTAGCAGTCATCTAACAACAATTTTATATATCAAACTCTGATAACAGTCCTCTGCATCCAGGTGCAGCTAATCCACTCTTAGACATCACCTCTCAACTCCAACAACACCATTGTTTCTAAAAGTCGTTAGTCTGACTGACTTCATCATTTACAACTGGCTACTTTAGAGGCTGCTAAAAGTTGTCTGTCACCCGCAGAGACTATTCGTCCTCAGACTATAATTATGGATGTCCTAGCCAAGACACACAATTAATCTTAAGTATAATAGTAAACAAACATGTGTGTGTTTCTCAAAACATGGATGCAATGCTAAATGATGGCTCCTTCTGTTGTGTTACAAACATAATCTCACTTGACTTCTTCTATCAAAAGTAGATAACTTCATTCAAAACTCATACACTGAACCCTACTTTAATCATCCACAGATAACACTAACAGTGGGTTGAATAGCCAAATACCTGCAAGATTATTAAAATAGCCTGACTATGCCCACTTCAATCCAAATATCAGGGAAAGTTACAAACACTAAAAACACAATAGATTAGGATTTTTTAGATGTTTATATAAAAAAGCCTTTAATTGCATATTTAGATATGCTATTTACAGTTTTGTTTTTCAGTGGCTTTATTACATCAAATCCACTTTTTGTTTAGCATCTATCCTCACTTACTCGAGAGTTCTGACACAGTTAATACCTGGTTGTTTTATGAGGAAACAGTCGAAATCAGCCACAACAGATTTCAAGGCAATTCTGGTTTCTCCTAATCTCATGCGCATACACAACACCAGTAGGCAACACATGACACAGCTTAGGAGAGCCTTGCACACTCTTCCCAGCCTGACTGCTCTCTGTAACAAAGTCACTGCCAAGTTAACAGGGAAGCGATGATTGTGATCAAACAAGAAGAAACTGGTCTGGGAGAGGAGGGGCTGGTTGTTCCCAAGAGAGCCGTCACACCAGTCAGAAAATAGGAAGAACTTGCATGTAGAAGAGAAATCTTGCAGATACTGTACATACTTTGATTATTACATGCCATACCACAGCAGTGGCTGGTTAAATGTACCCTTTAAATGAAATAAATACATTTAAAAAAATATAAATGTGTTACTGCCATGCCACCACCATACCTGTAAGTTATTATAGTCTTCCTAACAGCACTACATTATCTCTTCTTTACAGCATCTTAGCTCATATTATGGTGAACAAATAAAAGTAAGAAGGAACATTTTTTTACACAAACTAGACTTTATGTAGAGAGCATAACTACAGCTAGAAGAGGCCACATTTTCTACATACAAATGTACACTGCTAATTGTATAATATAGGAGTTGAAAAGGCTGTCAAGAAGGTCAACACACACACACACACACACACACACACACACACACACACACACACACACACACACACACACACACACACACACACACACACACACACACACACACACACAATACAGACAAATGATACCAGCCCTTATGTCATGCGCCACCCTTTGCTAAAGAAGTACGAGCCCCGGGATAATGTGAGTGACAGAAGCGTGTTAAGTGTTTACTAGAAGATATTTTTTATTTAAAAACTAGGATACATAAATATATGAACAAAATTCAAAATATATAAACCTCCCAGCCTTACTTTGTATATGTTTTAAGTTTTATTTTGGGGCTTTTTATGCCTTGATTCGAGAGTCATAATTGAACCCCTGTACATGATGCGTGCAAACTGACCACTATGCCAACGTCGCTCCTGACTCTGTCTGGTCTAACATTTTTATTATTGCTCACTTTCAAGTGAGTTACTAAACTGCTATAAACAGATCACAAAAGTGTGAATTAGTGATTTGACTAAATGCCTTGACTGCCTTCTTTTATTACAGCCACTGGCTCGTGTTTGCAAGTATTTTGAGCCAATCTGCCAGGCAGGCCACAATAATGGACAGAACATTACATTTAAAATAATTATAAGTATGCTTTTTAAAAGGAGCGTTTCTATTGTTAAGTAAGGATAATATTTGAAGAAAATATGGGGTCTAGTATTTCCTCTATCTCTACAACTCTTTTAAAGGGAAGTATAAAGAGAAAGAATGAGATATGTGTGTTTAGGACCTGCTGAGAGAGGAGTAGGACCTCAAGCTGTGGATGAGGGTTTTTTCCTGATAAATAAATGAATGAGGCAGCGGGCCGGTTAGAGTGTCAGACAGTGACAGAGCAAACACTCTCTGATCGCTGTGAAGAAGTCTCTCCCAGAGGACAGCCTCACACTAGAGAGGGACAGACAGTCAACTCTGGCAGCCTCGATGCTTATCAAACGCCTCGTGTAGACATCACCAGTATCTGATTGCTCTTTATTTACAGTTACTTGATCTTGTCTTAATCAAACAGACAAAGGGTGATGCTGTGCTTGGGGCTATTGTCAAGTCTAGAAACCATGCCAGAGTGATGACAAGCCATCTCCTGCTTCCAATTCAGATTTGATGGAATATTGATGAAAACTATTATCAGAGGATAACCTTTTTATCTGTGTTCATCATGCATAATAATAGTATGAGGCGTTACAGCACAAAATAACTTCTGTGGCAAATGAAGTTTATGTACACCTATCCATTGTTGTGAGCAAGATAGATCTCACACATGAACACACCTTTCAGAATTTTTGATTTATAAATGCAATTGTCAGAGGTAAAGAGGATAAAACAGTCACAAGTTTTCCCAGAGTTTAGCCACACACTTGCTAGCAATCGCAAGACTTGTAATAACTTCATTATTCGAATTGGGGTATCTACTGACATTTGATCTTTCAATAAGCAAAACTTCTGAATATTTAGATCTTGTTTGAACCACAGACTTTAAATCAGGAATCTCATCAGAGCTAGATTTAGAGCAGAGTGGTATTGGACTAAATATTGCAGCAGTCAATGTGAACCTTGATCAAATTACTTTTTATAGACGTGTCATTGGGTAACAATCGAAACATCAATATGTGGCAACAGTTGTCTTATGACCATACGTTACTTCTTTACACTTAAGCAACAGCAACCTTAGCATAGACTGAAAGATTGACACTGTTTTCTGACAACTTTCCATCATCTCACATTCACTGTTTTGGCCTTTCTTGTTGTAAACCTTAATTAGTTTTATTTGATCTCATATTCATATTGAGATATATTCTGGGCACTAATGGCCTAGTGGTTAGTTTGCGTGCCTCAAGTACAAAGGATGTACAGTCCTCGAAGCGGGCGGCACAATAAAGGCACAAAAGTCCAAAAATGAATCTTTAAAGAAAGATAAGAAATATTGAGATAACTATATCACAGCTCCACCAAATGTCCCCCCCCTGACCTGGCTTTGACACTATGCCCCAAAACATTTAACCAAGCATTAGATTTTCATTGGGTTTATAAATATGACTTTTTATTCTTTGATTGCCTTGATAATTAGAATCAACAGCATGTTATAGTATTACGCAATGCAACTCTCCTCTTCTTAATACTGAAGCTGCAGTAAACAGGATGCCCAGCCACTATAATACATACATGTGAAATCTATCGGATTAATGAGAGGCCATACCCAAAAAGAATCAATTTGTCTAAGTTAAAGATATAACACTAAAACCAAATAAAAACAAAATACAAGTTCAGCCAATGAGTCACAGAGATTATCCTGTTGCCAATACCTCACATCAAACGTGATTCTTCCAAAAACATGAACATCATTTTTTTTTTTTCACACACACACACACACACACATATTTTAAAGGGAGGTATTTTGAAATATGTTAGAATAATCTGGATTCACTTCTATTCTTGTTCTCCTCAAGGTTTCCGACAGTCAGAAGGAGTTTTTCCCTTTCCCATTCATTGGTAGATACATTTGATGTCTCTGTAAATAATATAATAGTATGGTCTATACCTGCTCTTAATGTGTATAAGTATAATGAGACTTCTTAATTGTTCTGATTTATGAATGAAAAAATATGGATAAAGTACTACCAGATACAGACCAGACAAAGCTACATACACTTGACCTGATACTGATTAATGTGTAACTCCACTCTTTCCTTTCTTATCAGCACAACAGTAGTAGCTCAAACCAAGCTTATCATTATTTGAGGAAGAGGGTCAAGTCAGATAACTGAAAAAACATCTGAACAATGCAACAACAGTCAATTTTAATAACAGGAACCTATAGTTTAGAAAAGTAAATGCCTTCAAGGACATCTCAGCCTGGATGTGTCCGTAGTCCTGCAGATGGATGTCATCCAAGTGTGGATTGGGCGGTGATTAGTTATCCAAACAAGTCTGAACTTATCTAATATAATCAATAGAAAGGGTTCTTTTGAGACAGCTATGGTTTCCTTAATTGACGTAGGCTTGGTTGTAACGGTGTTTAGTGCACTTAGTTTGCAGCACTTCATTTTAAGGTAAATTCAGACCACTCCTTGCATTTAAGTAGAGGAGCAACCAGTGAAGTACAACTTAAACTATTATTTAAAAGGTAGAATAGGTGACAATGGGGGAAATATTGGTGCTTAACAAATAAATAACCTTGGTTGTCTGTGTAAAAAAAAAAAACACAAAGCCAGCAAAACCCCATCAATCCTTTTTGTGTTGTTCAGATAAAGCTCCCATTACACCTATTCTCAGGGAATTTCCGCAAACTCACCAAGGAAATTACACGTACCTTTCGAAAAATATCCTGACGAAAAAAATTCCCAAAGCCAGCGGTAAGGCAGTCAGCAAGTGTCCAGCTTTGGGGTACTCCACCCCGGGAGCTGGGTCCGCTAGATCCGCCCAGGTTACGTTGTGTGGCAACCAGAACCGCTCGTTCCAGAACCAGGCTGAAAGAGCAGCCATGTTTCACGGTGTTCCTGTCCCCGGACGGTCAGACGAAATCACTTTCTTATCCAAAAAAGAAAAGAAGAAAGAAACTTGCAGAGCACTTTTCCTGGCCCCCCCCCCGCCGCCCTCCGGACAACTTCTGTGATGGTGACTGGCCACAGTACACTCAAACTTCTCCTCTCCGGTGTGATGGAGAACAGAACAAAGACGGGACATCCGGGTTAGGGGTGTCAAAATAAGATTCACATCGTTCGTCGTTCAATCTGTGCTTTCGATTTGTTGTAGTAGTTTCAAGCAGCTGTGCAAGCGATTTAAGTATCCTTTAACGCGCTATAAATATGCCATGTTTTTTTTTAATATCAGTTTTGAAAATGTGTCGGAATCATAAGAGGGTATGGTCGCAATCGTGTCTCGGAAATTGATCCGTGCTTTAACTTGAAGGCAAATGAGACTCGACCATAGACCGTAACTAAATATATTCAGTCTATGGACTAGACCAGGGATGGGCAACTTCGTGCACAGCAAGGGCCACATCCATTTAATTCTCACTGCCAGGGGGCCAAATTGTAGCATACAAAAAAAACCAATTACAGTCAATTATGTCTCAAATGTAACTCAACATATACCAGTGATCAAATATTATTATGGACATATTTCTGGTTTTCATGATTTCATGGCAGATTTTGTCATGTTTTCTTCATGTTGCCAATTAATTGATTGATATGTAAAAATTGACCTGAAGGCCACGTTCTCATCGCCAGACCGGGCGAGTTAAGTCAATTATCTTATTCATGTTTATGTTTTGTTTTGTTAGTCTCAACTAAGTTTTGAGTGTAGGCCTATGTCATTAAACCTAATTTTTACATTGGATGCGCTAATACCCGGTCTGGGTCTTAATTGAGGGTGACGCTGTGGCTAAGGCAGCCCTCTGCCTCCCCCTATGGTTTGAAGTGGTTTTGACCGTTTGACAGTGTGAAGTGGTCCCTAGTTGTTGGAGGTGTGTGCAATTGGTTACTGTGTATTAGTGTGCAGTGTGCCTTAAGGGTGCGTTTATCCTCACTTGCTGTGTTTTTAGGGTCGTAGGGTGGCTACCTTGGCCAGGTTGGGTTTGTTCAGTGGGCCCCTTTTTTACCTGGGGGGGGGGGGGGGCATGAAAGCCCAAATGGTGGCTTCTGGTTAATCTTTTGCTATCATATAGCCTTCACTGATATTAATTCTATTATATTTGGTTGAGTTTGCAAACCAATGGGTTAGTGCAGAATCCAACCAATGGGGGGGAGGGTCCTAGAACTAAAGTTCCTGCAGTCTGAAAAAAAAGACTAATGCTATCCTGTATGTGTTTTAATTTCCTAAGTAAACAGCTAAACTTCCTGTGTTTGATGGCCATCACCAGCTTGACTTCTCTTGGACTGCCGCCCTGAGATAAGGACTGGAATTGAAGTGAGGCGAGTCCCTCCTCCGTCACTAAGGGGATGGGTACTGTACATGCATCCCTGTTGTTTCTCTTTAGAGCCATTCAGCAGCCATTTTATGTTTGAGTTATTTTAAGTGAATTTATAATGTGAGATTTAACTGCTTGCGTTCAGATCCGCCTGACAGGTAATCTTGAAAAGTATTAAAGGTAGATAAACTGAGTGAAGAGAAGGGATCGTGATTGATGTGATGGCACCCCCACGTGGTCAAATAATGTACTACAACTACAAATTGTCAGAATATTATGTTACAGCTTGACCTATAGAAGTATAGCATATTTTATCTCTGTGAGGGATCAGACATGTGATAGTCCTCACACATGTAGTTATTCATTTAAAATGTGCAAACTTTGACAATAGCTGAATATGACACTCACATCAACATTTTTTTTGAAGACAACACAATGGTGAAATATTTGGAAACACCTTATGCCTCTATCTGTGTTGTTCAGCAGGGATGAGGCAGCTGCAGTGCTGTCCAATGTCTAATTATAGATGGACATTTGCCCCCTTGGAGCGCGTTATTATTAGAGATCTCAAAAGGCAGTTGACTCAATAACTATGCAAGGGATTTCAGCGAGGGAATCTGGACTTTAAAAAAGTGGGAAATGATGTAACTTTACGGCCCACAACATCACTAAGCAACAAAGCTAATGAAAATGAAGAAACAAAAATATTAAGTCTGATCAAAGAGCATACATGCAAAGGATTTTTTTTTACATTAGTGTTTTATCTTTTGGAATACTGGCAAGACAGACTGAATATATAATACAGTAATATTTCACAGCCAGAGGAAATAGGCTACCCTTCTGTCTGTCAAGGCGCCCTTAGCTGAAAGTCTCACCCACAGTGACTAAAGAAACTTAACATTGATGGGATGCATTGGCATATGGTGTCAGTCAGGACAGATGGCTATTAATGAACACACATGGGCTTCTTGCATTTTAACAGAATCTAGAAAGAGATAGCAAGGATGTTTGTGAATGAATAAACAGCATACACAAACAAGTTTGTTTGAGAAGAGAAGGACAGAGTTTTCATTATTTGCAATTGAACTACATTTATAACAGTATTGTCAATAATCCTATACTGTGCAAACACAGCTATCACAGATGAGCACAGAGACAGGATGTGCTCTTACAGAAAGGTTGAAGTGGACGCTGTAGAAAATGGTAAAGGTGAAAAGTTTAGAGTGGCAGCACTGCTGAGCTCAGGTCATGTTACAGTGAGGCAGGAGGGTGTGCATGAGTGTTTCATGCATGCAGATTTCAACATCAAGTCAAAGTGAACACAAAGTCAAAAAGTTCAATAATTTATTCCAAAATAAATCTTTTGACGTTTTTGGCTACATCTTAAGAAGACTCCAGAAGAAAAAAACAGTGCATTGTTTAACACTGAAAAGCATAAATCAGTGAAAAGGCAAGTTAAGGCACTTTTTTTAACAAAGAAATTATGCAACATTTCACAACATTCAGGTCGGTTTGTGTATTGTGTAAGCCAGAGTCATTCAAATTTAAGACTTGGTAGATTTAGATAACATTTTTTTTCCCACATGTATGCGTCTAATCTGTAAAAAAAAAAAAAAAAAACAGGAGTTCTGTATCGGTCAGTAACAGCAGCTCAGGTTTAGAGGGCAACTTGGCTACTTTTTACATTCAGCTTGATATTCAAACAGACAAGGTCAACCCCCCCCCCCCCCCCCCCCCGCAGTCACAAGTGTAATACAGTAGTGTAAAAGTCCTTTCCCAACTTCTGGCATTCGTCGGTCCTTTTGTCAGTCCTTCACATGTGCTCTGGGTGGTTCTGCAAACAGTTGATGAACTCTGTAACGGGGTGACTGTTGAAGCAGATCTCATACACAGCAGTGAAAAGAGGGAATCTGGAGAGGCAAAAGAAGGATTCATGGATGAAGTTAATTATTAAAGCATTGGTCAGACATTTTGGGAAATACACTTTTTCATGTCTTTCATGGCTGAGAGTTATGTGAAGATATATATACCCCTCTTCTGTCTGATCCGCTAAAATATGAGGCTATAGTTAGCAGCTGGTGAGCTTAGCTTAAAGACTAAACAAGGGGAAAGCTCATCTAGCTTTGTCGAAACAGAACAAAATCCATCTATCAGATCCTCTCAGCTCACTTTTTTTTTACATAAAATATATTGTTTGTTCAAGCTTTATCATAAAGAGCTGCAAGCTGTTGCTCTGTTAAACTTCCTGGAGTGTTTCCTGGCAACAGAGACAACAAGACTCCAGGAGTTGTTGCACATGGGTCATACATAATCCAGCACATAAGACTTCAAAAAACACAACTGGTTGTTTAAAGCTTTGTTTTATAGAAAACAAACATGGTAAAACATTCTAATTAATACTTTTTAAATTAGATTTTTAAATGTGTTGTACTCAAATGAGAATAGTACCAATGCTGTTATTAAACTCCTGGTAACCGAGCGTACACATCCAGGACTTTAAGTTAACTTGTCATGTTTAATACCATTTATTTCATTAAATAACCAGTCAAATACCCATTCAAACACAGCCGTTAAAAATAATATCAGGAATAAATAACAAGCCATCGTGTGATAAAGCTTCAATCTTTAAATTAGACAAACTTACTTCTCCAACATGTTTTTCTGCTTCAAGATTACGTGGACTTCAGATGCAGTTGCCGGACCTTGAAGCTTCTGTCCGTTTAGCATTTCATTTTCCAACTGCTCGATGGTCTAAACACAGAGACATTTGATTTTAAAGTATCGAGATTTACATAAAAAGGGGAACAATATGGCCATTCAAAGAGTGACTAAAAAGCAGTATGAAATCAGTTCCTCTTACTTTGCCTGTTTTGGCGAAAGCTTCTCCGATCTTGCGGTTGCGTCCCCCGTAGCAGGTTGTGATGAGGTCAGCGATGCCGCAGCTCTCCAGGAAGGTGGCGGGGGAGACGGGGCAGTCCGTGCAGAAGACCTTGGCGAAGGCGATCATCTCCATCAGGCCGAGACGGATCACTGCTGCCTTTGTGTTGTCGCCAAATCCCAGGCCGTCACAGAAACCGGCTCCGACTGCTACAATGTTCTACAGACACGATGACAGGGGGTTTTTTATGTTATTGTGCTGCTGCTGCTAGGCCTACATGTTATAAAAAACCTCTGAACTTTAAATAGCCTAAGTCCTAATGATTAGCCATGTCAATGCAGATGGTGAATAATATTTTTTAGAGCTACAACGCTGAAAGGTCTGCTTGTGCTCAGATGGTTGGGAAAAATCAGGATGTTAATCTGCTTTTAAAAAGGAAAGAAGCCGACCTTGAGTGCCCCGCAGATCTCCACAACATCAGACTCCTCGACCACAGTCACACGGAAGTTGGTGGTCTGCATCAGCTTCTTCAGGATGGGCCCGTGAACTTTGTCTTTGCACCCTGTGTCCAAAAATGACAAATCAAAACATCGTCACTTTCCTCTGGCAGCACTTGAGGGATGTATATTTTATGAAACAAACAAACAATACAGAACAATTCATATATCAATATTGCTATTTAAACGTCAGGATGTTTTGTTTGTTGGACAAGAAAAAAAGAGAAAAGATTTCAGTACTTGTGTTTATGGGGCTTTACACGGTACACCAGAGGAACAGAGGTCACCACATTACTATAACTATTACTTGATATAAAGAGATGGAAAAGGCCAATTGACTAAAAATTGACTAAAAATATTTTAGTGTTTGGAAAGACAAATTCTATAGTTTGAAGCCATGTCCTCCTTGACTAGAGCTGGAGCCTCCATGAACTGTTGATTATAGTATCTAGTAAACCTAAGCATTGCAGTGAAATTATGATCATTAGGTTTAAATATACCAGTAGCTGGGATTTAGCTCAATGATTAAACTTGTCAAATATTCAGTTATCCTCCGTACCAATGGTCGTTTCACAGAACTTCTCTTCAGCGACCTCGTTGGCGATGTTTGCTCCCATGAGGACTGTCGTGTCAATACCCAGCTTCCCTTTGATGACCTCCGAGATCAGCTTCAAGCCCTCAGGACCTGCATCCACACCCTACAGCAGACAGAAAACCACAAAATGAATCATGAGGGTATACTGTACATCCCACTTGTACATGCATTGAACTGGGAACCTTCTGTTCCGTTATGGTATTGTATATATGGTATTGTATATATAAAAATGTTCTGGTAAGAAAAATGACACCTTGATAAGAGACATTCCTACAACATCCGTCTTGATGTGGTCTTTAATGGTGTCACAAACTCTAACAATGAACTGATGTGGGACCACAAAGATCAGGATGTCGGCTCCTTTCACGGACTCAGCCAAGTCTGGAACAGCCAACTGGTGAAAAAAGAGAAAGAAAATATGGGGAAATGTTAATCAAATGGCAACATCGAACTATGAAAATAATAGTGTATGTACCTTTGACTAAAAAAATGGTGTTAAAATGTCTTATTCAAGGCTCACCACGTTGGGGGGCAGCTTGTGTCCGGGCAGATATTTCACATTTTCATGGTCCGTGTTGATGATATCTGTGAGTTTGCGGCCGTTAATCATCTCTTCAAACACCCACATGTTCACAGTGGTGTCAAACTGGTCGTACTTGGCTGCGTTGGCGCCCACAATCTTGGCAATGGCAGAGCCCCTGTGGAGACATGAGACACACAATGATCATCAGTGACAGTGGCTGTTTTAACTGGCTGTTTCCCCAAACAAGCAACCTTTTTCTTTTACTGCAGTGCTAATAGAAGAACAAAAAATGGGTATGCAAATTCTCCAGCTGGAGAGTTAATATTGATTATATGAAGGTGCTTTTCATTTGTTGTTTTTTGTTAAATTGAACTGTTTTATCATCAACTTTTGCTGAATTGTTAGCGGTCAAACGCTGACATTTGCTTCATGAAGAGCTTCATGTAAGGAAAACCACACTTTCTTAAGTACTGTACTTTCTTTAGCCCCATTCCATGCTATCTTTTTACCACCACCTCTACATCTCAGAGAGAAATATTTTACATCCACTTCATTTGGTTTATAGTAGAGCCCGTCCGATATGGGGCTTTTTGGGGCTGATACCCCATTTTGATATCGATTTTAGGGAGAAAAAAAAAGTCTGATATCAATATTTCGGCCGATATCTTTTTAGATCTATGTTCGATCCGTAGAGATAGATACACATTTAACGGTTGATCCCTCAAATGCAGTTATCAAACACTTGTGAAAAAGACACACAGTATAACAGAGAGAAGATGCTCACTCAACTGGAAAGTAACTGCATATATACGTGCGTCACAGCTTGACACTCTGGAGGGTGATGATGCTTATTGTGATCCATATAGTACACTAGCTAGTGAAAGTGAACTGCTATTGTAAAACAATAATACTCAAATGAAATGATATTTGGCTGTTGAGTAAATCTAGTAATATCAGCATATAGCTGAGATAAAATTAGCCGATACCAATAGTCACTGTATAAGCTATTATCTGCAGATATCATCAGCTGGCTGATTAATCGATCAGGCTCTAGTTTATAGCTGGCATGACCACTTACTTTAGTTTAAACAAACACATTGATAAGAGTTTTAATACATTTAACAGTTTTCAATATAATTTAAGCAATGTTTACACATTAGTCCATAATCATTTCAATCCAGTAAAACAATTTAATAAAGTTCTAATACTAGTACCGTTTTGGTCATTTGAGGCAAATTCTGATGCTGAAAGTCCAGTTATTTTTGTATCACATTTTTCAAAGGACATTTACTTGTACAGAATATTTCAACACCATTTGAAAATTATTTTAAACTTTGTGAGCAGGAAACACAAAGTCAAAATGTATAATGTACCAGTTTATTTTCAATCATTTCATAACTAAATCCTTAGAGTTAATCATTCATTGAAAGACATTAACTTATCCCTTCACAGTAAACAGACCTGTTTTAGTTTGAATCGGTGTGAAGATGTTTAGTGCCACATGATTGACATTGTTCTTCAGATGCTTTCACAGACAAGAATAAACACCACGAGAGATTGTCAGAGCAGAAAACCACTTTATGAGATAAGAGATATTTCAATATATCAATATGAAGTTGATATTTTTTGCACATATCATTTACATTTTAGTCCTGTGATATAGCTGTGTGCTTAACAACACAGATAGAAGGATGAAATGTTTCAAACTGCCACACTACTGTGTTGCTTTCAAATAACGTAATGTAACATTTTTCATTTCATTTTTTACTAATTTTAAATGCGTAAAAGTAATTTAAATCCACAATTTCCCAGTTTGGGATCAATAAAGTAATTCTATTCTATTCTATATTCTAAGTATGTATGATGACTTTCCAATGAGTGTAATGTATGCCGTACTTACAAAACTATGCTATACTTGCATGGATCAAATACAAGTAAGTATATCACAAATATGTATATCACAATTAACTAGTACTATTTTTTCCTTTTAAGCGATTTAAGAATATTTTCAACTTTAAAATATTGAAAATATGGATTATTAGAGTGCACCACTCAGATGTACATATCTCCGTAAAACTATTTATTCTTTCTCTAAGTAGCCTACGTTTTAATATTGGTATTGAAAATGCATCAATATAATAAATAAAAATAAAACACACTGACAGAGATCACTCCTCAATTTAATGAGTACCTCTTTTATTTTAGTAACATCTATATGAGAATTACATCATTCTTGCAGGACACTAAGTAGTGATGTAGTGTTTTTAAAATGCAGCAGGTCTTCTTTAACTTGAGTAAATATCTGAACACTTGGTGTTGCACTCCTTGAGTAAATGTCATGCTGGCTGAGGGATATCAACACCTGAAGGCTGACTCAGCTGATGATAAAAGACAGGAGCTGTGCCTTAAATATCAAGATGTGTGTGTGGTGTGTGTGTGTGTGTGTGTGTGTGTTTTGCATCAAAGGTCATCAAAACATTAACTGCCAGTGTCAGTCAGACCTCCACTCACACTGCAGGGTAAAAGCTGTCTTCAGTCTATTGAACACCTCTTTATTAACTAATTATTTATCAGCTGTTAAAAGTTGCTTGTACTCTTCTATGCTTTCAAACTTTTTTGGCAGCATTCATAAAAACACCTTTCAGTGTGTGTGAAATCTAATCATGGGAACATATTTAAAGATATGGTGACTCTAAACTGTGCACTGACATGCCTCCCTCATTTAACGCTAAGTTGGTGCATATTAAAAGCTGCAATAAAGCTGATTCAAACTTTAAAGTATACAAAGATCCTCCACTCACCAGTTACCAGAGCCGATCACACAGATTTTCTTTGGTGCTGCCATCGTGTGTTTGACCTTAGGGTGGAGCTGCTACCGGTGACAACACTGACTGAAGCCGGGAGTGAAGGTATTTATACCGAACACACAGCTGAGGCTCCGGCACACCCCCGCTGCTGGTTGGTCTGCTCCACCGTCTCTCAGGGACAAACTCTCTCTCTCTTTCTAAAGACACACACACACACACACATACACACACACACACACACACACACACACACACACACACACACACACACACACACACACACACACACACACACACACAAACACACACCATAGACTGTGAATATTAGGCACACACACACACACACACATAGACTGTGAATATTAGACACACACACAACACACACACACACACATAGACTGTAAATATTAGGCACACACACACACACACACACACACACACACACCATAGACTGTAAATATTAGGCACACACACACACACAAACACACACCATAGACTGTGAATATTAGGCACACACACACACACACACACACACACACACACACACACACACACACACACACACACACCATAGACTGTAAATATTAGGCACACACACACACACACACATTGTTGAAGCAAGACATGATACCAACTTAAATCAATAAAGAATAATCATGATCATACATTTGGCTGATTTATCCCCCAGTAATAAAGTCCACACAGTCTCAACATAACAGGCTGCTCGAGCTTTACTTTAGTTATAAGTAGAATTGATCATCTTAGGTTAGTGAATCTGCCACAACTAAGATAACACAATCATCATATTTGTACTTTTTGAGAGAGCTCATATTGTTTTAATCACTGTGGTGAAATGACATTTTCAGATACGCCCTCTTCATAAAAAATATTCCTGTTACGCTATATTTTTTACAGAAATATTGACCCTCTCATTTGTAATACTATTGTTAATTCTTTTCGGATCCAGATTTTTGGTGTTTTTTACGCTGTTATTAAAGAGAGACAGGACATAGAGTCAGAAATCAGAAGAGAGAGAGTTGGCAGATGGAAGATTCTGGTCGCCCCCGCTTGGAGGACTCGAGCCTCTGTTCATGGGGCGTGCGCACTAACCACTAGGCGCCCGTCAGATTCCAGATTTAATTTCAAAACGTGATGAATTGATTTTAACTTAATGATTAAGATTAAATCAGTTGTGCCACATCTTTGTGGATTAGCAAACTCTTGACTAAAATACTGAGCTGTAAATAAACTATAATAACTTTAAATTAACAACAACAGTAACAAAGATGATTGTTATAGGTGTGTTACACATTGGATGTTTGACCACACCTGCCATCATCTATCTATCTATATCATCAGCCTATTGGTGTTGATATCTGTATTTATGGGCGTGGCCCCCAGTTTTCAAAAACTATCAACTGAAGAAGACATCTGATTGAAATTGTTGATTGAAATAAAAACTTTTTGTGGCATTAGATCGACTGTGCGGGCATGTCTTCTCCTCTCTGCTGTTTTTGTATTGCTCTGCATATACATGTGTATAGCCAGCCCATTTTTTCACCCATCATAATAACCCAGGCAACACAAGAACCCAACAACATGAAATGAGACCACCTTAATAACCTTAGTAATACCAGTTATATTATGTTATTGATTAGGTCTGTCTCAGGGGGCTTACAGCACTTCATATCTACCTCATCCTTTAATCTATAAACACCAAAGCCCTTTGACTGTGGCACTTTACCCTTTATTTAAGACATTGTGAGGGATGTTGTTGTTTCTTTTCACATTATGTTCTCTGTATGGAGCATGCTGTCTGTCTGTTTTTTATACAATACACACGAGTGTCCTTTGAACTTTTCTATACCAGGAGTTACACTCTATGCCCTTCTGTGATACTTTATTGTATCCATTAGGGCTGTCAGAATTAACTCGTTAATTGCAATTAATTCAGTTCTGAAATGTATGCTTTACATCATTTCATCGTGATTAATCACATGCTATTTTGTCCCTTTCCGCGTGCCGTGAACAAACCTCCAGTGTCTCCCTGTAGTCACAGTGATCGAAAAGAACAACACTGCTGCATTTCACTGAAAAACACAAACTAACTTTGAGACAGCTTAGTTGACGAGCCAAAAGTAATATCCACCTTATGACATCGATATTTCAATTTTTAACGTCCTCTTAAACTTTTTTCATTTTGATCAATGACAAGTTCCTTCTACGTTCCTTGTACATACCTTGTATTATTCTATTACTGTATTTTTTCTCCCTTTATTTAACTGATGTAAATATGTTTGATTTTTAACTTCTTAAAGTTAAAAAAATATTAATATTAAAATTATATTCCTGTTTTCTTGAGCTGTTGTAACGCAAAAATTTCCCCATGGGGGATAAATAAAGTTTATCTTTACGTGTCGTAACCTCCAATCTACCAGATCCTTACTTTATTTCTAAATAAGAGGGTTGGATTCAAACAGCAAGTAAAGACTCAGCTTAAGACTTAAAACACCTCACAATTTGTTTTTAAATGCAAAATAATGGAATTTCAAACAGTATAAAAGATGTGATTTATCATGATCAAACATTTTAATCGTTTGACCTAATCCTAATTAATGACGTCTTTCAATTCATTCTACAGGTCAACTTGTTTTTGCTGTACTCACTCAAATGTTTCAAGTATGCAGAGGAATTTTAACCAAACTGGTGTTTATGCAATGTATCAGTTGTGATCATGTGTTCTTGCAAATTTACTCTCCTCCTTTACTTGTTTTTCCATTTAAATCCAGAATAAAAATTACTAAGCCAAACATTATGTAGACGAAAGAAAACAAACAGTAACATTTTACATAATGCTTTATTCTAACATAAGAACATACAGAAAAATAGGTTTGGTCCATGAAAAAGTCTGCAGTTTGAAATAATACTACAGTACCCCCCCCCCCCCCCCACATTCCCACCTTCTTTTAAATCCTGTACCTGCCCCCACATTAGTGTCTTCTTGGAATAAGTGAATGAAATGCACACAAGCTAAAGTTTCAGCCAGGACAATCGTCTTTAACTTGAACAGGGAAACAACCGTTAAAATTAAAAAGGTGTCAGATCTTCAGCCAGTGTACAAAAAAGCTGCGACTTTGAGAAGTTTGTTCAAGTGTTCATGGCTTTTCTGCACAGAATTAAAATGCACAAAACTAAAAGCAGAAGATGTCACGTTTCCTCAGCTTGCAGACATGAATGCTGCGCACATTTTGTCCTGCAGATCAGCTGGTTTGTCAGATGTTGTGGCGCTGTCTTTTGTGCCGCAGAGATAAATCCCTGTGCTGTAACAATGAGGGCCGATTTAGAATATAAATACTGCTTCAACTATCTGAGCATAGACAAAAGAGTTAAGAAAAACATCTGCCAGGATAAGAGATACAATTTCACTTCACATCCATCTTCAGTTTATTTATGCTCAGTATTTACAAAACTATATAGACTAGAGGTACTCAGACTAGCTACTTCCATGATAATCTGTACTAGCTAACAAGACAAGTACTGATATAATACACATTTGAAAACAAGAATCATTGATAATAAAAAAGGAAAGAAAAAACTTCATACTAAATGCCACACATTCTGAAAAAAGATGTCGATTCTGTCATAATTGAGCTTCAAACATCTCTCTGACTGTGGCACAAACAAACCATTGAGAACTTAAGACAAAGTGACACATTAACAGCCAATGTGCAGCAAAAATCAAATCAAAATAAATCCTGATTGACTATTTAAACAATATCCAACAGAATGGGCGAGGGTTAGGGGTTTAAAATGTCAATTTACCTTCCAAAAAGGGGAACAAAAAGCCAGAGGCAGAAACAACAATCCCAGCTGATTTACGGGCTGCCAGGTATGCTCTGCTCTTTGTTCGCTTGTGTTCAATCTGCATTTTTGTGTGGGAACACATATCAAAATGACAGGAATGCTTTCAGGTGAGGCTTTAGTACATGCACAACAAAATACAAGGAGCTGTGCTGTGAGGGAAAAAAAATCAGAAATAAATCATACAAAATATTGGAAATAGCAACCAAACTGTGAACGTAATCGAGCTGCAGGGTGAAAAAAAAAAAGAAAGAAAAAAAAAGACATCCTATATAACAGTAAATTCGTCTAGTATCTATCTGTCGAAGTTTTCAGAAAACTCTGCGAGGAATTCACTTTGAACATCCCACACACATTAGTCGTCTCATTTGTCGCCTGTGGACCAAATTTGTTTAGGTGTTCCTGATGCCGAGCGCCTGCTCCAGCTCCTGTCGCCTCTGCTGGACCTGAAAGATGATGTCACACAGAAGATTTAATAAACTAAGACATTAAGTCAATTAAGTTTATTTATCACGCAATCAATTAAAGACACAGTCACAGTGAAAAGCTAATGTCACAGATGAAAGAGATAAAACAACACTACCAGTCCCCAGCCATGTTTGTGATGCAATTTAATTTAACTTCTCAGATTTCAATGACAATAAATGGAATAATTCTTGAGATAACCGAGTTTGGGTTCATTGAATGCATGTATCAAAACAAACGCAATGTAATAAAGCGTTAGTAGAGGAAAGAGAGGAAAGGGAAATCACATTACCTTGGAGTAGAAGTAGCGACAGACAGCCTCCTGAGCCCACGGCTGGTAGTAAAACTCTGCTCTTCTCTCTTCTTCTGGGTTTGAGACCACATCGGTCATAGTCTGAAAACAGAGAAAGACACAAAGCTTAGACATAAAAAACCCACAAATCATTGAATTTATATAAAAAAAATAAAAACATGTATCAAAGGTCCTGAATTCAATACAGACTGAAGCTATAACAAGAATAGTATTTTTTTTTTTTAAGTCTGACTTCAGTGTTCCTGTGGAGGCACGGCAGCAAACTTTGGACTGAGTTCTTTTAATCTCAGAGCGATTCAGCAGACTGAACTCTGCAGGTGGTGACAGCTGGTCAGCAGTTCACTGGTGAGCGTGGCAGTCGCTGTGTAATAAATGTTTCTCAAAGTACTCCGTCTATGCCCTTCTGTGATACACCTGTGAGCAGCACACGCTTTGTGTGGTGATAGAGCATGATATCCACGCTGATTTAATGAAGTCATCTCTACCCACAGCTGAAACAAAGTCACCTTGCCACAGCGCAGACTCAAAATTTACTCCTAACATGACCTGAGGGGATTTTCTCAGCTTGAAAATGACTCCATCTTGGTGATGCCAGAGGGTTTGTTTATGCTTATACTTTGATGTTAGTTTCCAGTCTTATCTGTCCCCTGACATTGGATATCTGAAGTGAGATATTGATTATGTAAAGTGCAGGCTGACAGTCTGAAACAGTGATACTCTGATTCCATTTTTTATCAATTCAGTAGTTTGCTATTTTGTATCCACTTTCCAAAAACAATGTCCCTTTGATCTCTTTCTGTTGTGTTCGTCTACAGTCCACAGTGTCTCGTTAAAACATCTTCACAATGCGTTTGCGGTTCAAGCTAGTTTAAAGTCATAAGTCATCTACATGAACCAAATCAAAGTTCTGCTGTATTTATAAATAGCAACATGAGGACTTTCTCCAAACAGGGACATACAACGGGATTGAAATACCTTAAAAACAAGGGAATTGAGACAATAAAGCAGTGTTTCCCCCGCCCCCCTTGATGGTCAAGTTCATTTTATTTTCTATATAGCGCCAAATCACAACAGAAGTCATAAGGATACCTTTCCTATAGAACAGGTCTATACCTCGTCCTTTTATTAAACAAATTAAATAGCCTCATGTTATTTATCTTATTTACACGACGGCATGTCATTTCTGTCTCTACATGGTGGCGCGTCTACAATTCTCCTCTGCTCTCTGTGTCGTGCACGGCGGAGTTTCGCCCCGATGCACACACAAACACAGACACGTGTGGGAAACCTAGGGAAAACACTGTAAAGAATGATTGTATGAGGCGCGTAATTGTAGAAAACAAACTTTAGCAATAGTAATGGGGACGTAAGACTTTCACTGCGGGTCTTCTTGCCGTTTCAAATCTGATTTATGGAGGACAAAATTAGATTTCTCTCTCTAAATCGATGAAGGATTTCTTTCTAACCATCTTCAGAAGATTAAAGGAGAATGGCAGACTGTTTGTTTCTGATTAACTCACACCATCACTCCATATTTATCCCCAATCTAAACGTTTCCTAGTCACACTTTGTGCTGACAAGGCACAGTCAACATTTAGCGATGCATGGTGCAGTAATAAACTGTCTCAGGGCTGTGAGTTACATTTCTCTTTTTGTTTCTTAGCTGAAGAACCATGGTATCTGTGCTGATATTGGACCACAGATAAAAGTGCTTCAAGTTCTTTGAAGATTCAGTGCGAGGTCTTGATGGATAACTCACCTTGAGGTCTCTGCACTGGGACTGGAGCCAGTCATTGATAAAGCCCTGAGGATCTCTGGCAAAACTCAACATGAATTCTCTCTGAGTCTTCAGCTGGTTGATGGTCTCAATGGTTTCATGGATCTAAAAGGAATGAAGACAAGATGTTTCAGCAAAATGTACTGCATGCAGAGGTGCTCTTCTGTGACTTCTCACTGCTTTGTACCTGAAGAAAGTTCAGAAGATGCTGCAATGTTGTTTATTGTAATGGACATGTCTGATGTTGTGATCATCCATCAGTGATACTGCCCATTAAAACATGGTAAAATAATCTTGCATCAGCTTTTTAATGTCCTTCAAGGAATGGTTTTGTCTTTCTATTTCACTTTTTAGAATGGCTCTGGGATAATACTTTTATGAGTGGATCCCCTTTGTGCTATCTTACACAATCTGAGAATATATTTATGCCAGGATACGAGCAGAGGGAAGGAAGTAGACTGCTAGCAAGTCTGATGGGGGGAAAAAGCAGATTTGTTCAAAAATGTTTATGAGAAAGAAAACAAATTCAAACTGCAACTTATAGGAAACCCCTGGGACATTTCAGGTGCTGGCTTTTGATTTATTTTGTTGTATTTAATGTAAACAAATTGATGAACCATACTTCATTGGTTTATTGAATTTTTAGCCAATAAGATGAAGACAAAACACGACTGCAGAGTACGATCAAGTTTCTCTACAATTAAAAAGAAAGAAGAGCAGTGATGAATCAAAGCTTTTCTGTAAGAAGACATTTAATTAAAAAAAATATGTTATGCTCAGCTGATTGGCCTGATTCTTTACTAAACCACTGATGGATACTTTAAATGTCCTCCAGGCTGTCTAGGTTAATATTATTTACGAACCATATTGAGCCTGATGTAGGCGGCTTTGGAAATAGAATAGCTAGAGGACAAGTTCTTTATCGACCCACTACACAAAAGTGACACTTTATACTGGGGTTGCATTGTCTTACTATCATCTTATGACAGGAATACTGCAGGTCATTTTGTTTGGTTAAAGATTCAGCTCTGTGTAAGGGTGTTCAACACATTAACTGTGATGAGTATCATGGGAATGTGTGACCCCTGCTCTGTTACAAACGGTCTCTTGTCAAACCAGCAGCAGCTGGGTGTGAATCAGGGAATGTTACAAAACCCAAATTGAAGCAACAAAATGAGTGGCGCCCATAAACCATAAACAAACACTCTCCACATGATTGTTGATTTGTCCGCGTACAAGGACTAAACAGCAGGACACCTCCGTGTCTTATCAATGTGATTACAGCCGCCCCATTCAAGGTGAGGTTTGTACGCAGGGGGTCGAGAAAAACCTGACCGACATCAAAACAGCACAAAATGCAGCAAGTCACAGGCAACAATTTGTGAGAGCTGAAGTGAGTGAAATAGCCCTCAGCAGGTGAACAGTAACAGAAATGAGTTCCTTTTACAGTGTGAGTGTACTAAAAACAACCTTTACACAGTGACAGCAGAAGAGAGTCACAAAGACCTGGCTGCTAGTTTTGACCACATAATCAAAAATTTAAAAAAGTGAAGAAATTTTTAAGGACCCACAGTAAAAAGCAGAGAAATACTGGCAGAAACAGAAATATATCCCCTTCTTCCTGACCCACACTGAGCATCTGTCCAACAAAAAGCATCTGGGATGAACATCTTAGAAAGGTTGATGGGAGAGAGAGAAAGTGTGTGTACCTTGTTGTCCAGTCCTGCTATTTCCTGCTGACTGGCCGTGGAGAGCAGGAAGGAATTCATCTGGGTCTTCAGTGTGTCATCCACCTCCACATCAATGTCATAGCATGCAGTCTTCTTTTGGTCATTAGGGTCCACACTGTAAAAGCCACAGTGCAATCAGTTAGTGCCATGTGACATTAAACCTAAACAGGACGGGATCAAAACAGCAATCCACATTCTTACGTTGGGGAAAAAACCTTTTATTCCTCATTAATCAGAAACACTTTCAATTCAATTCAACTCAAAAAACCTTATTTGTCCCCGGGGGCAATTCAAATTGTCAATTGTACTCCCGGGGGAACATCTGGGTGTTGCAGTTACTCTTACACAGAAAATAAGAATGAAGAAATAAAGGACATGTGAAAAGAGGTAAGACATGTGTTAAATATGATGTTATATATACAAGTATAGAACATAATATATAGTGAGAAATAGGAATAAACTGTGGAATATAAGCACTATGTACTTAATGTGCCTCTAGGATAAGACCAATATAAAATATATACAGATATGTGAATGAAGTGCCATATATAACCACAATGGGACTTATGAGGTGATTTAAATATAAATACAAGAATCAATCAATAAGAGTTAGATAGGACCAGTGTTGAAATGAAAAGTGTAGATACAGTACTTAAGTAAGAGCTCTGCACAGTTGGGTGATAAAAAAAATGTTGGCAGGCTTTGACACGCTCAATCTACTATTGAGCATACTGTAAGAGTAAAACAACACAATGCAAGAATTTCTAGACTGTTCACACGAAAAGGAGCTCAAACATCCCAATAACGAGTTTACCTGATCACGTGGTTGATAATGATTGGCTCTGGGGGCATCAGGAGTGCATGCAAGCGCTGCGGGATCTCAGAGAACTTCATTCGCTGAGTCTCAAAGATCTGAAAAATAAAAACAAACACGCTGTCAAGACTTGAAAATGTACTGTCATTTGTAAAGTGTTATGAAGTGTGGCATGCTGACTAAGGCATTAACCAAAATGTTGAAGACAGTTTTTGGAGACATTTTTTACATCGCCTTGCTTGAAACATTCATTTTTATCAGCGAGAGCAAGTAAGTATAACCATCAATATAAACTAAATTCAAATTAGGCTAAGAGGAGAACTGAAATCTCGACCTCCGGGATTGTTTCAGTTCACAGTGCACATCTTCAGCTCACATCTGAATGCGCCTGTCTATTATGAGGACATGTAGAATATAGTTATGCTGCAGATTTTCCTGGTTACTTAAACATCATTATTTTTTTACATTTTGTCCTCTCATATAGTCTAAATATAGTTGAGGATTTTTCTGGTGTACTTGATCAGGTAACAAAGTGTGTCACTTCACTTTTATGTGTATTTACAGGTGGACTCCACTCACCTGCTGCAGGTATTTGTCACAGTTTATGAACTCGCGCTCATGGGGGTCTTGGAGTTTGTGGGTCTTGACGTACTGCCACAGGGCCTGAATGATGACAGGTCTGGTCTGGGTGTGGATGCCAAGCATACGAGCCAGCCGAGGGTCCAGCTTAAACTGAGGGGGCTGTTTGGTAAACACAAAGAACAATGGAGATGAAAAGAGCATTAAAGGAAACTCAGTCTGCTTTTTAGATTTGAGTTTTTCATTTTATGACCTCCTGTTAGGTGGGGGTTATTTCTGTATGAGATGGACAATTATGAAATCGTGAAACAGACTGTGGATCATTTATTCAGCCATGGTCAGACAACACAGAAACACAACACACATGGCTGACAAAGTGCAGACCATCGCTGACCCATGCTGACCAAGATCTCACAATCATTGACAATCATTGGCAAAGTGGCCATCATGGGCAAAATGGCAAAGTCTTCATCACACAGTGTGGCTTATATTCTGCTAGAAGGTACAGCCCACAAATTCCTTTCCATTTGGGTACATCACTATAAAACAATAAAGATGACATGTCACTGATTTGTATACGTATCAGATGTAGACTCTCTGTCTAGCAAACAGTTGCTGACAACATATAGTTGGCTCCTATCCATTTATAGATCTGCTACTACTTAAGTGCTTCACCCATATAAGGTTACAGCGTCACAGACCCAAAAGTAGAATTACTGTGAGATGGTTGACACAATTTCAAGATATGTCCACAAAATTATCAAGATGAAAGAATCCATGAAAATACGTACTAACACCTCCCTACTACCTGAGCAAATATTTGAAGAGCTCCTAACAGCAGCATTACCATCCCACTGAGAGTCAGACGAAATACCTTTGTAAAGTACAGTTTGAAAGAAGGAGAAACCCACAACATTTACCTGGTAGTCAAGCATAAGCAGGACGGTGCAGCGGACCCCCACATCACCAGGCCTCTTCACCTGGAAGCCATCAGTCTCCTGGGTGGTGGCAGTTCTGTGCCACTAAAATTAAGTAAAGGACAGGCAGAGTATTTAATGATGTATCGACTGAGATTCTTCATCTGCAAAGACACATTTCAACTGTGACCTAAGCAATAAAGAAGTACCTGTACTACATGAAATCGGTAAACATAATACAAATACTATTATCTTAACATTTGCTAATCGTAATTAACAAGTGGGACAAATTAACTCCAGTAGATATTAGGAAAGAAATACAAATAAAGAAATCACAGGTTTGGAAGAATTTATATTCAATTTGCACCATAGAAAAAAAATGTGTCCTTGAATTTTGTAATTCACTGATTGCTTCAGCTGTTTTTAAGGCATTTTTCAGATGCTCTGAGGCAGGAATTCTTTTATCTATTTGCAATAGATAATAAGTGATTATCTTTGGTTTGGATGTGTTGATGAGAAAAAAAAAAAAGGTTATTCCAGCAATTACCTGGAAAATGTGTCAAGCAATTAAAAAAACATATTTCTGATGTGATAACCTCTAAAAAATACCTCGAACATAAGATGAGAATACTTGTTAGACTCAGTCCTTAATGTTATAAACGATGGAAAGACATAGTTGTCTCTCTTCTCAAAAAAAGGCAAGAAAATCAATAATTTTAAACGTAGTCCTGGACAGGACAACTGTGTAGGCACCAGCATATATTCTGGTACATCAAATCATTATCTTACCTCCACAAGGTGATTATCTGGACCGTACAGATCTTTGTCCAACTCAATCACAAGAGACTTAAAGAAAGAGGAGAACTTCCTCTTCTGTTTGGTGGCTTCATACTTGGACACAGCAGTCTGGAAAGCAATTTTGTTGTAAGTATATGAAACTGAAAAAAAGTTCAATTAAAAGTGTAAATACTCCTTGTTCACAGCTGTGGCTCACAGAAGTGAAACTTAACACGTTATACTCAAAGTGGCTGAGACAGATGCAACAAAATTTCAGTCTAAAACCAGATTACAAATACATCCATCATGATAGATATATTTCTATTATGAAGCTTACATCTTCCAGCAGGCGGCCCTCAACACGCAGTTCCCACGATGCCACTGTGCCTTCTCCATCCTCAGCATCGGGCTTGGCCGGGTTGAAGGTGTTTGATATAAAGATACGGAGCTTTCTCTTTTGCTGGGAAAAGTAAGTTTTAAAGGAACTTTGAAATGATGTTCTCAAGCTCTCACAGAAATGACTCCAGTTCTGATTCATTGGATCATTTACTGAAGGGAAAAATGAGATAGCTCCACTGTGACAGTGTGAACCTGTTTATATGATTACATCAATTTCAATGTTTCTGCTATTTGAACACACAGAAGATTCAAGTTATGTAAAATATCCAACATCAAAGAGACTGTCACCTTCAGCAAAATAATGTGGGTATTCATGTCTAAATCAAACTGGTCTGCAAAAGCAACCATCAGTACTTCATTTCTATAAACATAAACACATTGCAGAGTTGATATATTACCTTATCCCACAACCAATGACTCTTCTCTGAGATGTCCAGTTTTAGGGAGTTATAGAGGCCCCCAGAGTGATGATAACTTTAAAATGACCTTAGGGTCTAAATGATTTGAGAGAAACTTACCTTTATAGGCCTCTTTAGAGCCTCCTGAATGTCCAGTCTCTTGCGCATGATGGTCTGGTCCAGCTTCCTTTCAAAAGCCAGCAGATCCATGTAAGCCTGAGACTCTGGGACCAGTTCCCTGATCTGGGACACATTAAAGGCACTGGTCAGACTGAAGCCCAACATGTACAACAAGGCACAACCAGATAAAGTGTGAGTTTTGTATTTTTTCTATATAGTGGAATTATAGCAACTATAACACATTTTCGTTGATCTCATATCCTTTAAAAGCGCTCTTAATTACAAAACATGCTGAAATAACAGTTCTAATAACAGATTCTACATAAAGATGTAGAATCTGTATTCAGGGGTCTGGATGGATTCAGCGAGGTAGTTGTTGTTGTTTTAAGTTCATTTGTAGTCTGAGCTGTATTGACCAGTTACGTATCAACAGGTTTTGGTGTGTGTTATAAGATCCTAAAACTGTGTTGGAGTGATATGGACAAAAATTGGATTTATGTTCAAGTTCAAGAAATAATGAAGAGAAAGGGAGTATTTTTTCATGGCCTAGTTTAATGTCAATTCATTATGGGCATCGCTGCTCTGGGCACAAGACAGACCACCTCAAATGTCAAGAAGGTAATCTCAAGTGCTCAGTCAGTGCACTTCTAACACAGATTAGTTTCGCTTTGTTTGGAGCCATCTGAATTCAAATTGAAATGGACAAGCAAAGGTAATCATGTCAACACAATTGAGGACTGAAATAATGGATTTCCTGTTGTTGGATTGATACTCACCCTCTGAGGTAGAATTTTATCAGCCATCTTCTTCTTCTTCGTGCTGTGAAAAGAAATTAACAAAAACAAGATAAGTCTGAATGTGGGTCAGAGCGGAGCAGTGTAACATTTACATAAGTACAAAAGTCCAGTCCCTCACCTCAAGAACAAGAGGGATCTGTTTGACACAGGTCCAAAAACCACTGTTGCATTTCTCTCGCTCATCAACAAGTACTATCAGTCCTTCTTTTTGAACTAGCTGATGGGTCTTTCACATAAATCTGATAACATGTTAACCACGAAGCTATCAATCATACTTCAGTCAATACTCTGTCAATTAGCCTATTCAACGTTTAGACTTTAAATGTCAGGAAAATGTGTGCAGAATGTCATCAATCTTGTAAGTCCAACATGTAGAGATAAAAAAACAGTTATTTTCACTTATAACTCAAGAATTAAGACCAGAAGACTCTGAATACACATATACAGAAAATAATTTAAGTTTAGCTTAAACATTGATCGTCTGTTTAAGGCGAAACACAGCAGCTGGAAATAAAAGTGACGACTTACTGCTGGTTGCGGTTCTGCTGCTGCACCTGCTGAATCTGGTTGGGGGCGGGCCTCTTGCGAGACGGGTCCATCACGCCGGGCATCACAGGGCGAGACACTGGACTGTTGCCATACCCGGGGGGGCCCATGGCTGGTCCCTGAGGTGTCATACGGCTGGATGGAGGCATGCCTGGTCTCTGCATAGAGAATAAAAGAAAGATCTTTTTTTTAATTTAATTTCAAATATCTCAATGATGGCTGCAACGTTCTGTTGAAAGTTGATTAAAGGTAATTATTTGCCAGCTATTTTGAGGAACGATTATTAGTCTATTCTCATTTTCAAGTCAAAATGTCAAACATTTGCTGGTTCCAACTTCTTAAAGGTCAAAAGCTGCTTCTTTTCTCTCATCATTTATGATAATGAATGAAGAGTTTATGGATCTGGAAATCCATAAACTCATGGAAACTAATAAGCATTCATCTTTTTGGCATTTTGTTGACTAAACAGCAGCTCAATAAATTAAATTAGTTACAGACAAAATGGCTGCAAAGCAGCAAAAATAATTAATTTGAGTTTTATTATTAGTATTAACAGTATTTTATATGTTTTTGTGGATACCTGATTTGTTACACCTTAAAGTCTAAAGATGTTCAAAGTGAACAGTCTGATTAGAAAAAGCAAACCGTTTTTTTTGGGGGGGGATTAATGTCTTTTTAAATGTTTTCACAACTTTTGAGGATACAACTAAACAAAAGTCAGCACCCACCTTTTACTTTATTTTAAATGAACATCAGAAAATGCAAGGCTGCGTTTTCATGCAAGAAATAACGCCTCCCTTTTTTAATCACATATCCGTTTAGAAAGGTCAACATAAATATGAAACCAAAATATCAGCAGTGCACATGTTCTGGTGTAAACAATTAAATCCAAATCAACAAAATTAATTTAGCCTTCATCGGTGTTTAGTATAACAAACACAAACAGCATAGCTGATGCTCTGAACCATTTACAGAAAAAAACAAAACTCATTGCCTTTAGGTATATTAAAAAAAAACACATACTTTGTTAAGGCACTGGTCGGTCCTACAACAATACCCTGCAACAATTTCAACACAGACACCTTTAAACAGGTTCATACACAACAAGTTCTACCTTAAACTCACCAAGCCGTGCGCTAAGAACTCAAACAGGCGACTCCTTGTGTCTAAATGCATGAGGGCAGGTAAAATCAGCTGATGACTAATTATCGATTGCAGCTTTCCCGTTCAGCAGTCAGTCCAACAACTGGGAGATTACAGCAAAGCATGCTCCCTCCTCTGCCTGCAGCTGAGGGTGGTTGGAGTGACAGACTTCAACTTGCCAACAATACAAGCGAGATGAATGCATTCTGCCTTTTCCAAACAGTGCAGTGTGGGCAGTAAGCCGCTGCATGTTGATCATTAAGTGCTCTTTGCGCCATACATCGGTACAACCTTGGCTTACTTGGGAACATCAGAGTTCTGCACTATTCAGAGTATGAAGTTAATTTGACTATGTTGTGAAAGGCAGCTTCCATGAGTGAAAGCCTCAAGGACACCGAAGAGAAAACAGATGTAACATCCTTTCACTCAACTATGCCTCAGGTCGCCAGCAGCTAAGCAGCAAGCAATACAACTTGTGTGATAAAGAACTTATCCTGATCACGGTTTAAAATACAAAAGTGCCATCCAGAGAAACAGCAAATTAATTTTAGATACACTCCGATCCTGTTCAAAAACACTCAACTACAGATGAGAGGATTAAAAGTTGCTTCAATAGAAATGATCACTGTATGCACGGATAACAGTAATAACTGTAAACTGCATATCTGAGTTTAAGAGCACTCTACGTGTCACTGTCGATGGTGCAAACAAGTCTAAAATAATCCTACTAACACTCCAGTCAAGACACTCAAAATTTAGATAGATACGGTAATTAGACTCTTTAAGTTTCCAATTACATTCAGAATTTTAATCTTCAATAATACACTAGCAATAAAAAACAATAAGATATCACAGCACAATTTGCAAAACACCAGCCTGCACACAGTGTAGAGGTGCAGCAAAAGACACTGAACACATATATTCAGACCACTGTAAAGCCCCTGGGAGTGAGCAGGGCATATTTTATAGGGCTTCCTTCATAGCAGGCGGATAGTTGGATAAGTGATTAAGGGTTTCTGCATCAAGAATTCCTTTACCGTGCACTCTTTATCATTTATAGTCCAACCAGCACCCTGAGAGGCAAGAATAAAGATCAAGCAGTGAAAACCTTTAACAGCTGGACTGTTATCTAAGCATATATATATAGAGACAAATAAAAAGCAACTTGTGTACAGGTGAAAGCAGGATTTGACTGATTATGGTGATGACTTCCACCTCTTTCACTCTCTACACAGGACTACAGCAGATATGTTTTGGACGACACTCCCATGACATCAAAAAAAGAAACCAGAACTGTTCCAACACCAACATTTTGTCAAAACAGATGCTAATCACTCTATAGAAATAATGCATGCAAGTGCATAAGGAGGGAAGCTGTCCCTGAAAAACAATGAATTTCCTCATAAAAAAAATATAACCCCTTTCAATCAACACTTTTGCACACCATATGAGTTTGGTGGTATCTGTTTTTGTAGAAAAACTGCTTTCTGCTGTCTCGATCTCATTTTGCTGTGGTCAGTTATGGGTGTCCACCTTAAAGCAGTGGCGTGTGCTGTGTAGCCCCCAGCAAATCTCAGCATGCAAACTGCAAGGTTAAAATGCTGGAAAAACAACAACATAGCAACCTGGTTACATCCCTGTCTCTGATTCTCTTCCATCATCTGCGCCTGTTTGACAGATGGTTGGACTGAGCTACTTACAAACTGAGCAGAAAGACCAGAAGATGTAGAATCTGCTGCAGTAAACCAAACCTGACACCCTCCCGCTGGATTGTGCTAAGGCATCAGTGTGTTTATTTGTGGTTTAGAATATGATCATCTTGAAATACTCAGATTATTGTAGATTAATATTTATAAATCCTTGTTTTATTCTTGCTAACATTGCTCTTTGTTTTTCATCACTTTCTGGCTCATTCTGCCCCTTCTCTCTGGTCAGAAATCTAGTCATTACTCTGACTTTTAAAAAAAATAAATGCTTGTTTTTTTTGTACTATGATACTTATTTGAGACACGTAATTAAAAAATAACTTTAAGTGCGTCAGTTTTGACTGCTCCAATGTCACATTTGGAATAAATCTGTTGAATTACATGAAGAAAATTATGATGTCAACTAGATCAGCAAATTTGTAGATTTGCAAATAGACAGAAAAATGATCATCAGCTGTACATTTTATTCTATATAGGAGCAAAAATAAATATTAAATAACTTGGTCAACTGGTAGCTATGATATAAAATTAAAATCTTTGTGAAGTTACCAAACATGTTGATCCACTTGTTGTGGTTGTGTGATACCAGACATGTGGATTTAAAATAAGTATTAGGATGCCAAATCCAACCACTGATTTCTCTGTGAAGTTGTGAACACCAACTTTGTCTGCAACAAACCTCACCTTCTGTAAACTCTGGGTGTGAGTCTAACCTCACTTGTGGGATGTTTTTTTTTTTTAAATGAGAGATTTTGTGTTCATTATTACAAATACTGCAGTTTTCCTATTCATTAAAAAATATGCACAAGCTTTTTGATAGCTTAGCTTTAATGTAGGTCCAACTTTTCACCTCCACTAGAGCTTTAAAACTTTCAAGTACGAAGCCTGATCACAATGCGATAAAAAAAGCAAACACAAGAAAGTTCATTAAAGTCAACCTCGTTTTGTTTAGAAAGCAGTTTAAGCGAAACACACACACACATAGCAACATTAGCAGGCTAAGCTAATTGGCTACCGTGACAAACTAGCTCAGCTTTTTAATGTTAGCGGGCGGGAGAGAGTGTGTGTGTGTGAGTGTGTGTGGATTCAAACAGAAAAACAAACTCTGTTAGTGACTCAAAGTGAAGAGTTTGACTGTTTTAATAAGGTCTTTTCGAGGAGGCGGCCTGCTACAATGAGCGCCGGTAGCCGTGGTTACGGTTAGCTGCCTGTGACAAAGCGGCGGTGAGAGGCTTTGTTCTAGCGGACAGGCTAACGCGTCAGCAGCAAAGATGGAGTGATATCTCACCGGGTAGCCAGGCCCGGGCATCGGGGAGCGGTACATGTGGTTCTGCGCCGCCGACGACGGTCCCATCCTTCCAGAAGGAGTCCCGGGGCCCATGCCTGGTCCTGCGCCCGGTACCGGCGGTCCTGGTCCCATTGCTCCACCACCACCAGCCGTCGGTGCCGACTGAAACCCCCCTCTGGCCGCCATCTCCTCTGTGAGTGAGTGTCGCCGCCGCCGGTGGAAGCACGGAGCTATCGCGAGAGCGGGAACTGAGGTTTTTGGGTTTGCGTTTACGGCCCTCAGCGACCCCTGTTGTGTGCGGATGGTACTGCAGAAAAACTGTGATCAGAAGAGTCTTTGATTGTCATAATTTAATGTTTGAAGTATTATATTAGTCTTAGCATTATTATTCTAAGGCAACCATCCTTAGATAGATTTTTGGATCTACATCAAACCAAAAACCAAGCAAGTCTGGTTTGTCAAAAGAGCTCCAAGGAGGTTCAACTTCCCCTTGTTTGTAATGTCACCAGGTCAGCTGTCAGCAGGGAACTGCAAACTGAATTTCAACCAAACCAAAGAGCATCTGGAGCTCCCAGAGCAGGGTGCAGGAACAGTATTCTTCCCATTTTTTTGTGGCATTAAAATAAAAAATAACAAAATTGTTGTCTATAAGTGAATTTAACCTGAACAAGCTATACAATAAACAGATATGACATCAAAACAAAATTGCAAATCTTTGCACTGACTTTTTTTTCCAAAGGGATTCAAACTTGTATGTTTGCACATTCTGAGCTTTTATTGAATTTTGGGTGTGTTTCATGGCTAAGTTGAATGTCAGTTCACGTTATCATGATCAGAAAAAATCACAAACATTTTATTTTACGAAGGATGTCAAACAAAATTGTTTTATTTCATCAAAGTCAGGTTCATAAATAACAGTACCTCTACTCTGATCGATCACAATCTGATAATTGAATCTTTTAAATAGCACCCTCATCATTATTACGTTTCACGTGGGGAGCCACACAGACACTTCTAAAATGGTTTCTATTAACAAGAAAACAAGTTAACAGCGGATCAGCTGAGGGCCTGTAAGTCACCCACACAAATCTTGTTTTCAAACTTTGATGTCATTACATTTCCCTCCAATTAGTATGGAGCTGCAACACTACAATACATGGCGTCCCATCTGTTTGCAGAGCCTGTTTGTTTGTGTTTGATCAGAGCGCGCCTGTGTGCATACAAGGGAGGAGGGGTTAGTCATTTTTTGAATAAAATCCTCGTTTATGAGACAGTGAAAGTGTTTAAATGGCTGCATGGTGCTTCAAAACTCCAGAGAGGATTTGTCACCCATTTTTGTTGATTAACTCTCCTGAATTTGGGTTTCATACTTTAAACACATGAAAGGACCAATCAGTTTGATTCATATTTGAAATCTAATATGACGTCTATGAGTACTGAGAAACTCGACGCTGCACTGTTATTATTAATCTTCTTAACAAGCAGAACGTAAAGTGCAGCCCAGAGAAGTCGGGCTGCAGCCTTATCTATGACAAACGGCTGAGCATCCTAATTGCACTGAGAGATCTGACACGATAAATTTACACCAGAAATGTGACTCATCTGACATTCTGGCAGGAGTGAGAGCACAGAGTTGAGCTGGAGTATCAATCCTGCTTAAAAATTCATCTCTGCACAGTATAGATCCACAGATATGAAGCTGTCGAAAGCACAGTAAAACTTAGAGCCATTGTGTCAAGAGTCATAAATGGACATATTTTGGGTTGAGTTCTGACTGCAAGTTTCCCATGCTCCATGTCCTGGTGCAATTGGCTATTTTGTTAGTTGTGTTATAATATAACTGTTCGTCACTGGTGCAAGAAGTATATCAACATTTTACAGTTTAATTTAACTGACTGAGATTTGAAATTACCTCAATATAAACTGGAAATGAGACCATCCCCATTAAGATTTAATATTTCCATATGATAATCTTGAATGTCTGAAATCACTTCGGTATCAAACGAGAGGGTTTTCAGCACACCAAAGAAATGGTCTGTTTTCACATGTTCCACAACAAATATTCACCTTGTGTGATACATGTGACTGTAAAAAGACACTGTGTTTTGTTTCCCCTACACATGTTCAAGACATGATCAGCAAAGAGATTTACTGCTTTGTCCACAGGGGGCGCCAGAATCAACACAAACTGAAAATTCGACACAGGTGCCTTTAGTCCACGTTAGTGTCAGAACTAAATGTCAGAGGAGAAACATTAAGCATGAACTACGCATAAAGGAGCAAAGTAAAATGATTCATTATTAAGAACCTCTTATTTTTGTAATAATATTTTATTCATTGAATATTGTCCTGTGTAAATGATCTTTATGTAGTCAACAAAATGTAATATGGTAGAATTAAACCTGGTTATGTGTCACAATGAACTCGTTGATTTTAAATTTGAATTAATAATTGAAATGGTCAAAGTTATCTTAAAGTAAGTATCTTACTGTAAGTGGAATACAACAATGTGTCAATGAGAGTACAAAGAACACCTCATTGTTGTTCTTAATCTGATTGTTGAGCCCTTTTTTAATCTACACTAGCTAGTTCTTTTGTTTTTTCTGTGTAGAGTAGTTTTGTTGTGTTTTGTCATATTTTGATGAGTTTTGCTGCAGAGCCACCATGCCCTCCCTGCTGAAGAAAAAATAAAAACAAACAAAAACATATTCATTCATGTATTTTCCAACCTTAATTGAACCAGGTAATTAACCCATTGAGATCAAGATCTCTTGATACATTACAGGTTAAACTAGATCTCTCTTTTTTGTCTATAATAAAGAATACAGATAAATATACCAAATACCAATACAAAGTAATAATATTGGCACTGGGTGAAAAAAACCCTTTGGCAGCGTGTTGAGTTGACACACTATTGTGGCTGTGCTGTAGTAGAGAACAGTGTTAGTGTACCACATTAAGGAAGCTTAAAACAAGCGTGTAATCTCCTTGTTGGCTCAGATGACAAACTGTGATAATAGGATTAGGAGGATATTACCTCTGATAGTAAAAGATCTTAAGTCTGAGTGCCGCTCAGCAAAAGCAGAAGGCATGGTTTAATTGACGGATGTGGGTGAAAACAGGCGCACAACTAGTCTCATTAAAGTATAACGACTCATTACAAGTTTCCAGCATGAAAACGCCCCTCACCCCCCACCCTGTGTCTAAATGACACCCAGCTGCCTGAGGTGATTAGATGAGGGTGATACAGCCATTTAAGAAGGGCAGGCAGTTTGGGTAAGAATCCATTAAGAGTGTCTCTCTTTTATAGGGTCCACAGGTTGGCACGGAGTCAAACAACAAGGTTAAATCAAGGAGGGAGCAGTCCTCTCTGATCTTTTTATTGGAGGGCTTAATGAGGGAAAATAATCATTTAACCTCATGTAGAGAGAAAAGACAAAGTTTGCCAAGATATTTTAAGATCTGCTAACCCCATCTGAAACTCTTGTAAAGCCCCTAGCAACAGGAAATCCTGACTTATTCATCATTTTGGAGAATATTTACAGGTTGTCTGAACTCCCTCTGGTACCTCCTACACACGCCCACCCCACCTGCTTTGCCCCTGGAGCCTTATCAGGATGCAGGGAGCATCTCCTGCAGGATTTCTGTCACCAGGAGGCAAGCAGACAGGCAGGCATCTCTCCTGCATCCTGACCCTCCTCCGCAATCTTCAGAGATGCCGGCTGCCGCTCAGACAAAAACACAAAATGCCAAAAGGAAATGAACAGCATCGTCTTTTATTTTTGATTAATTTGTCTTCTTGGCAGGTACAGACAGAAAGTAATAAAACCATCAGGGGGCAAAATCAGGTTTCAATCATTCAAAACAGGGAGAAAGAAAATCTTCATCAGATGGTGGAGCTGGTTCCCGGCAGCTTTAACACTCGTATATTAATGCAACCGAGGTTTCTCCATTAAATGATAAATGATGAATTAACTTTCACAGTAGATTAACAATGATGTTTGGTTCCCTGCAAAAAGTAATCATAAAAAAATTATACAGCTTAAGTAAACTCCTCGTCTTAGAATAACCCTTCTGTGCACGGTGGACTAATGTGCGGCTGACCGAGCCACAAAGACAATTTTGCAGGCAGACCATTTTTAAGAAAGTACAACCGAGCTCTGATATTCAGAGTCATGCATCACTGAGCTGCTTCTCTGATACAAGTGTGGCAGTTGGCAGCACCAGATGTACAGTAGAATACGAGACGAGCCGTCCGTAATGTGCATCTGCTCGCTGACTGACAATCTTGATGAAACTTGTGCAGGATATTTCTCATCCATCCTTTTGTCAAACAGCAGCAGAAACTGTAATTACATTTCAAGGGAGCTCCAAAACACCAATTTGGTTGCTTCGCAGCGGTTGAACTGCAGCACAATGAATGTTGGGAGTAGATAAGTAATTTCTATTTTGAACACCAGGCTCCTCTCCTGCCCCCCGAAGCCCCACTTGCCTAATGCTGATTTAATTCCAAGAAACACACAGAAGATAACATGTTGATTAGAAAAAACAGAGATAAGAAAATGTCTCAGATGAGGGGAGAATACTTAATAAAATATTCTCGGAGCTACGGATGATAGAAATGAGCATTTGCACAGTTTCTGCAGTTGAAAAATACAGTGATTTGAATGTGTTTACCTCTTCAACCAGACACACAGACAAAGGCATCAGAGAGGAAAATCCACTTATTAGAATAAAACCCCAGAAGAATAACAATTTCCAAAATGATATTTACATTTTATTTATGATTTTTGATAACTAAATAGACCAGCCTATTACCTGGAAGAAGGATTATCAGGCAATATTGAGTATGCTTTTATATGAAAAGAAAAAAATAAACCCAAAAACCAGTCGGATCAACACGACATTAATAATATGACAATATATCAAGAAGAATAGTACGTTGTCTTTTACATCACCTCTACATACTGGCGGTATTGTGCTTTGATAAGACGTTTGCAACTAGAACACAGATACAGAAAAAATCGTAACAGCCCCACGAAACTCCCAAAGATTTCAGCAATCAACTCTCGCCTGGAAAAGCAGAAAAACGATTCTCCCGTCACCTCAGCTCGCAGTCGAGATAAGAGGGAATGGATGAAGACCCCTCGACTCATCGGGCACATGTGGAATGCATAAAAAAAAGAGGAAGAAAAGAAAAAGAAGAGATGAGAAATGAAAATTAGCAGTAGCTCATCCATCCACACAATCAAAACGCTCCTCTGTTCCTGCTTGGATGTAGGCACCCATGAACACTCACACACACTGCGTAGCTACACTCATACACAGAAATATATGGGATGTATCATCCTCCTTTTTCCTGTATATCATTGAGGCAAACTTGGTCATTATAATATCTATATATTTATATTTAAAAAATAAAATGAAAATCATAAATGATAAATGAAAAAAACATGCACCGGACAAATACGAGCATGCATTTACATGATGAGACCTGAAATCTTCACCAGTACATTTCAAACGGTAGATAACGCACCTCCATCCCATCGAAAAACGTCCCTGCACACCCGACTACACTCATCGCACACATAGATACATTCTTGTACAAACGACACAGACTCCGGCTTGTTGTTTTACAGAGCGCTGCAACAGTTACAGATGTTGCTACAAGTACAGTGGAGTAAGCAGAGAGGATCTTTGTCCTGGGTTGTGTAAAACCAGTTTGTGTTGTGGTTGTTATATAAAGGCATGGGGGGCTCTTCTTCTGATCTGTGGTGAGATAACTGTACATGTTCCCATGGTTATTTTTATCTTTTATTGTTTCGGTCTTTTTGAAAGAGAGGTCCTTGTTGGCGAGGTTTCTCCTTGAGCATCCTTATCGGCAGTATTCCAGAGAAAAAAAAACACAGAGATAGAAGAACACTGCTTGAAAAGTTTTCTGGAAAAATTAACAGATATTTTGATATTTTGGAATTTCCTCAGCTTTGCCCTGGGTAGAAGTTCTTCTACCGTGTCTATCTTTATTTCTGATTTGTCTGCTTTACTCCCGTTTCTAAGTAAAAAGTGCCTTTGTTAGACTTTGTATCAGTTCCTCACACTCCCCTGTGTTGGATAAGTTCTTCTTGTGTTGTTTGCTTTGGTTGCATAACGCGCACTTTGTTGCTTCACCGGCGTCTGCTCAGCAAGTGAAGTCTTCAAAGTTGCCCTGGCCTGGGTGATGAGGTAGCATGTTGCCGGGATATGTCGATGGTGTACGCAGGTTCTCACAAGGAGTCTAGGAGAGAGAGAGAGAGAGAGAGAGAGAGAGAGAGAGAGAGAGACGAGGAGCAGAGAGACAAGGCAGGTCAGATAAAGTGGAGTCAGCAGGAGAGCAGAGGGGGGAGGCAGTCATCACACTAGAAATGAAACAGAAAATTTGAGATGGAACTGAAAAACGTGTAAACTCACTCTCAAAAGTATGACAGGAGCAACAAGCTTGGCCAGGAGGCACGAGGAAATACATTCATGAGAAATACTCTCCAGTTCAAAATAAAATGATGAAAATAATGAAGATGCAAGGAAAGAGAGGACTACGAGTGAGTCGGGAGGAGATCAGAGGAGGGACACTGCTTTTCCTTTTTCTCTGCTGCAACTCAGACTTACAATTAAAGTGAACTGGCTTCATTTACACTGGGAGATAAGTGAGCTGTCACACCTTCTAAAGCTCTAACTCTGGCCCGTCCTTGCCGGTCCTGTCCCCCCAGTTTTTGATTAAATTTGCACAACTCTCCTACTTGTCTCTCTCTCTCTCAATTTTCTCCTCCACGCATTCCAATCACATTTCGCTCCTTTTGAGTGTCTCACGACTGTCCTCTCCTAGCTTCCTCCATCTTTATCTCTTTACCCTCATGTTTACTCTGCATGTTTACTCTGCATCGCTTTGAGAGTGTGTCCCTGTCAAAGCAATGCAGTCAAAGTGCTCAGCAGCAGCATACTGACATGGTGTTTCACATCATCCAGGCTCAGCACAGCTCCCCTGTCGTTGTTGTTGCGGCCTTTGTGTTTCTTCTTCATGCATCGGCACAGCTTGTACTTGATCACCTGAAAAAGGCGAAGACATCCATAACTGACCTTTAGGGATCAAAACTTTCTATTTCAGTCAGTATATCAATACATTCAAAACATCAGGGCGGTAGCCAAAGCCAAAGTTTAGCTTCTTTAACTCTGTTTACAGAGATACAGAGATCCTGCACATGAGCTGTATATTTTCATGCACACACTCACTTTACACTTTCATCAAGAACTAAACTCTTCACACATATACTCCAAAAGATTTCAGGAAACCCCGCCCCTGAAAATCTTCCTGAGTTGCTTATTCACATCTACCACTCACAGCGTAAAGTTTTCCCTTTCAGACGAGAGAAGGGCAAGGTTTTATGTAAAAAAGATAATACTGGAAATCCAAGATGGTGGACGAAACAAAATGTCAGTTTTTTTCTATAGATCAATGCCTAGTGTAATTGGATGTATCCACAGTATCAACTTAAGAGCAGAGAAGATCATACTGACTAGCAGAAAAAGGATGAAGCTGCGCTATTACGTTCGGTTTTTGCCCCACCTGCTTGTTTGCAGCAAATATTCCTGAATATTTCGATCAACGTTCATACATTGATTCAATCTGACTTCAAGTCAACTTTATTCGGTGGCTGGCAGGAAAAAGTCTGGGTAAAGTCGAAGCAAGAAATTTATATCTGCTTCTACACATGCAGCTCACACCAACAATTTGTGATATTGTCATGAGTTCTGCCCGTTTGTAAAAAGAAAAGAAAAAAAAAGACAAACATCATTCAGCAATGCTTAAAGAAGTGAAAGCATGAGGGGAAGTATACAACACATTGCTGCTCTAATGAGAACAAACACTTCCAGCTTAATCTAAAATATAATACATCCAAAATGTAAATGTATTCAGCATCAATGCTGCTGAAATGTGTGCGTGTGTCTATGGGTGTGACACGGAGATGGACACCATAACCCGGGTTGTGAGGGACACAGCGATCATCATGCTTGCTCAAACTTGCCTGTGAACACTGTAATAGTACACATTTTCTTGAACAATACAACTCAAAAAGATGATTCAAATGATTATGGGAGAAGTATTAAGAAGAATAATTTTACCTCATATAGATAGTCAAAGAGTTCGAGAATCGTGAGGATGCTGGCTCCGATAAAGAGTCCCATCTGGCCTCCAATATCACCTGGGAAGATACAAAAGAAAGCACGAATTGAATCCTCAATTCAAAACAGAGTGCAAAGTCACTCCAGTACATTTATATGAACAAGAGATAAGCTCCACAGCATACTTTAAAGAAAAATGAAACTGTGAAAGGTGGAAAATGTGACAGAAAACACTGACTACAAAGCAAAGATAGAGTGGAAAAAGTCACAATAGATTAAAGAGACAATTGTGTGTCTTCTGGACCTGAACACCTATTGTAAAAATGCAGACACTTGTGTTACTGTCAGTGTGGATGAAAAAGCATCTGTCATGTTGAATAGAACATATCATACTTTCCCATGCAAACACTTGACAGCCATTTCCTTACCTAGAAGTCCTGCCAACTCGTAGGCTTTCTTTTGTTCGATTGTTTCGTAGTTCAGCGCTTCAAAGAAGATATCCAGAACCAAAATGTTATCACTGTAAACAGAGAGACAGTAGAAGTCACATATTCTAATGTCTCAAGTTTATATTATTACACGCTTTTATTTTTTTTATCAGGGTGTCCTCAGGCGGACGAGACGACTGGGGAGTCTGCCACTTCCTGCAGATACGGAGAAGATGTATAAAGTTGAGCACATAACTTGTTGTAAGTAGGTAATTTCCCACGAGGTGCATCTGGTCATTCAGGAAAAACAAGGGAAATGATGACATCTGTTTGATTTTCAACGATGTTCACGTTAAGAAACATCTGACTACAGCAGAAAATAAATGAAAGGGGATTAGTTTAAAGGCCCAGGGAAAGGCAGACTATTATTTTGATTCCTGAATATCCTCTCTGTGGGCCGATCAGATTACAACCTCCCCCGCTGGAGTTGAGATCAAAACCGACTTTGTAGTTTCCCTTTTTGTACTTGATGCCCTGTTTTATTATTTAAATTAAAGTCAAGACGAGTGATGATCCGTCAGTCCTAAAGAGAAACCTTGCAGAGCAGAGGACTGATCTGAGACAACCAAATGCAAATCATAGCTGATAATGTAGAGATGGAGAAGCACTGACACACACATCTGCTTACTCCATGTTAAGTGTGGGGGATGTATTTTCCAACCCTGTGCAGTCTGGCTGTACAAACTTCATTAAAAAAACACATGAAACATCCCTGGTAAACAGCATGAAAAACACTCATCATGGGCTTATATACTCGTCTGCTAAGAAATTATCTCTGGAAGCAGTTTCCAACCTTCAAACGTACACCCACAGGCCTGTCGGAGGAGCTCTACGCAAACCTCTTTTCACAGAGAATATTTTGGCTAATCACAGCAGGGAAAGCACAGGTGGAAGAACAAACATTAACGATGGCTCTCTTCCAGTAAGTGTCCAAGGTTCTTTCAGTGAGTCCAAATCTACAAAACAAGGACAGCTGGCTCAGCCTAATAGAACCCCCCCCTCCCTCCACGTTAACACTCATTACATCTGTGTGTTTCCTGCTTTGAAAAGTCAAAGCACAACAAGTTACCAATGTGTTGGTTTCATTTTACTTTAAACTGGAGGCTTTTTGACACCTTTAATTGCATCAAGCAATTGCTGCTTTGTATGGGAAGCTTAATGACTCAACTATCTATTGTTAGACTAACAGTTTAAACCGTTTACGTGTGCTTTTAGCTATTTGAACTATTTTTTAACTCTTAAGCGTCTATATCAACCAGTTATTAGTAAATTCTTTGCATTTCTTTTGTTTTCTAACATGTGCAGCTAACTATCTTAATGGTTTTATTGTACATTTAGCCAAATAATGAAACTGGTTAGTTATTGCTAAATGTTCTCTAATGTCTTGTGTTCCTTATGCAAAATATTTCAAGTGTTTATCCTCTACTTAAGCTAAGTAGTTGACATTTATTGTCAACAAATTAGCTTAACTTAACATAGCTAACTTTAGCAATAGTGTTTTCTGTTTTCCAGTTGTGTCAGGGTGCTACAACCCATCTAGCTAGCTAACGTACTTTATCCTACATTTTTCTGTTAATCTTTCACATGAATCTAAATATGTCAGCATTGTATTTCTAATGTTTAGCTAACTACTTTAACCATTCCTTATACTATCTATCTATCTTCTATCTTTCTATCTATCTATCTAGTGTAAGTGAAATTGTTGGCTGACCTCCTGATTTGTTCACACACCTGTACTGCATCCCCCTGCAGCTTGAATCAGTGAGTAACCTGCATCAAATCTGAAGAGCTGCTGACAAACAGCCCACGTGTCTGTGTGTCTCTCGGTAGAAAGATAAGACAAACACTCCACTGTGACAGACTTCAGTTTCACACCACTGAGCACCGTTCAGCCCAGATACCAGAACACTCCCAGCTAATGTTTGTCAGATTGACTTTGGGATATGGCCAGTCACAAAAAGGAACAGGATGGACTCGAATCCGTCCACAGGGGATCCAGAAACTCTGAAGGGAGTAGGGAAAGGTTTTTTTCAGCACTCTGACTACATATGGTGTAATTATCCTGTCCTCAACGGCTCCGTCGGGAATGACAGATAAAAGATTCAACTGTTATTGCACCCTCTCATCCTGTCCTTGAACTACTTTTGATCTTTTCATTAGTTTTGGGAAAGAAAACACTTAATACTCTGTGATTATTAAGTTAATCTCCAACTGGTAGCTCCTTATTCTACTTCTTCGACTAAATGAAAACAAGAGTGAAGAAGTTGCAGACGTTATAGGAAAGTTAGGTGAGTTGCTTGAAGGGAAATGAACCTCAAAAAACTTAAATTCTCTTATACAGAAAAGTCGTAGTTAGACGTCTTATTCCCAAAGGAAACCAAAAAAACATCCACGATGTAACCTTGTATCAAGAGATTTCCAACACAGTTTTATATTTTCTACTGTTGTGACCCCCTTAAAACATCTGTACATCAGGTTTAAATTAAGTGGTTTAAATCAGGTTTAAATCAGGTTTAAATTAAGTGACTCACTACACACCACAACCACCAAGAACGTTTGAGACCTGTGAGCACTGTACGACACTACAGAGGAGGATTAGCCCACAATACAAAAAGTGATTTATAAAAACTGAGTTCATGAGTTATCGCCCGGCACTAGAAAAGATGATATGTAACACATCATCTCGCCCTCCCCTCAAAAATGTGGCTTCCCTCTTACATTCGAGACGTTTGACCTTCACAATGCAGAATGATTTATGTGCAAGGTTTGGCATTTAGAAAACAGTTTTCTACTTTTACCTGCAGAACGAAGGATGAGCTCTTTATATCCTCCTTACAGTGACGTGACCATGAGGTAGGATTTTGTAACATGTCAACTCCTTTGAAAACCTGTTGCTGTACGATAGGCAACAGTTACAAGAGTGAAGTGAAAACAGGAAATCTAAAAGTCCCTCACTGTAAGTATGGACTTTTTAAGGGAAGTTTGAGACATCTAGTCTCCAGGAGTAAATGTTTGAATTATACATTTTTGCACATTCAGATACATCATCTTGTTTGACCAGAGAATTTCTAGATGTGCCTATAAGAAAATCTAACTATGCACAAATCACTTTTGAAATGATGTCTGGAAGAGATCTTGAATCAGAACTTGTGACAGAAAGAATCAAATCAGCTTTTTCCTTTCAACGGCTTTACAAGTGGAGGCTATTATAGTACCTTGGTACTCCAAATTGAACGTTTTTACAGCTTTAAATTCCACTGAAGGTCTGAATCATGAGCTTGAGATCAAACTTTTACTCTGAAATAAATAAATAAACACATTGTGGTAGTTTCTCAAGGGCACTTCCTTTATATGAACAGTATTTGTGTTGAATTAATGTAGACACACACATCCATATAAAAAAGGAGAAAACTACTCTTTCAATTTCAAGAAATGTGATCTGTCCTCAAAGAGTTTTTTATTTTTTACTATTCAAAGAAGAGTTAAAGGCTCGAACTGTGGCTATAAGTGCAAGTTTAACTCTTATTTTGTATTCAGCTTCTTATGTTAGATGAATATGTGCATTTATATATGTCTAAAGACATTTTGAACAAGGTTTTATATAATTCTGTTATAGTGCTTTTGCCTGTGTGCTTTTTTTCAGTACATAGTTTATGAATTTTAATTGTTTTTGAATGATTGTAAGAAAAAGAGTGATAAAGATGGTTCCCTTCACTTTCCATCAGTCATTTTATTGTGTGCAAAATGCAGAAATATGGAAGTGATTTCCATTTTTTATACATCCCCCTGAATTATTTTTGACTAAAATCAATATTTCATTACAAGATAATCTTTTTTTTGCATTGTAAGTGTTGCAGCATATTTTTTCATTGATATTTAGCAGCTTAACAGCCACCAGATCCAGATTGTTACACCAAGAATATAATGTAAATTTGACTCATGAAAGGGACTTACGAGATGTACTGTTCTGTCTTGTTGAACTTCTTGGCGAGGTACTTAGCTGAGGCTTTGCTCGGTATCTTGACAAAGGACATCTCTTTACCATAGCGCGTCATGTTGCACGGCGTCTCGCACACACAGTAGTCATTGTCCCTCTCGACCAGAAAGTCTGTAAATGAAAGAGAAAGACAGATTGAAAGACACAGCGGTAGATAGATGTATCACCCGCCCTGCATGACAAACAAAATGCCAGCAGATTGAAAGGCGTCAAAGAAAACTTGTGGAAAGACGCTGTGAGGAAAAACCCCTGAGACCCTTATGAGAAATACAAAAGCTATAAGACACACACAGACAGAGTCAGACGGACAGTTGCAGCCAGAGGCCGACATGTGATTCGTGTGGTGTCATGGAAGAAAGAAAGATTGCAAGTCAGTAAGAAAACAAACAGACATGAAAGGCCTGAAAGGTATCAGTTGATAGAGAGACAGGAGAGTGTGAAATAGAGAGCCACAGTGGCAGGCCTGAGCTCTTACTATTTGAGAATGGCTACCATGAGGCTGAAGAAACACTATTATCTGTTATCAGCTGGGATAAGGCTCTGAGCTCTGGCTCTGAACAGTGGGACATACACATTGGCCAGGGTCTATACAGACAAACTATCACACACTGCATGCTGGGTTATCTTCTTACCTAAGGCAGGATCCGCACACTCCTTGTATTGCTCTGGGGTGCAGTATGGAGCATCTCCTAAGGATAGAGAAGAAACACAATGTTCTCAGTCTGAACAAAAAACTGGAGAAAAAGAAGACGAACAAAAGGGAGACGTGATGCAGGGTTTTTATTTTTTTTGTCTTTCACTGCCATTACCGTCCTTATTGTGACTGAGTTTTCCGCACATATTTGCTCATATCTCGTTGATTGATTTCATTAACTTTTCCTTTTTTTAGCTTCAGTCAAATTTTTCTCCTTCACCCTCTCCATCTTCCTCGCTTGACAGTTGAGCCACCCCCCCTATGGACAATACATGCAGAAAAAAAAACGACGTTTATTACTTCCCAGCTGCAGTTATTCACTGCGTTTTGGTTCATCCTCTTATAGAAGAAAAATCCCTCTAATGACAGGGAGATAGGAGAGATGAATGGGCAGAGGATTTTAACAAGGGAGTTGTCTGACTCGCATTAATCAACTGCACAATCGCTGGGAGATAGCGGCTAATCCTGGCTGTCTGGCTCTCTGTATGCAAACACGGATCTGAAAGTGACCCTGATTGAGGAGAGAGACATTTACAATCATCGGACAGGTAAGAGCAGGTTAACAGAGGCCAAATCCAAATGCTTCTCCCCTGTGCCAAACTTTTTCAATTTGCCGTCCGAGATGCCACACAGTGATTAAATGTAGGAGGTAAGACAGCAAACGCCAGCTGCAATCACTGCACAAACACACAGTGAAAATAGTTGAGTTTTCCGATTCAATGGAGCGAGGAAGTATCTGATCCTCTGCAGATGCTGGCGAAAAACAGTAAAGAATTGTAATTTTCACAACAAGTCCAAATGCAAGCACTTTAAACCGTGACAACAGTTCCAATTTCCCCAAGTCCATCTTTTTTTTATTTTTTATTTTTAAATGTTGTGCTTTTTGTGCCTTTAACGGGGAGATAGGACAGTGGATAGAGTCGAAAATGAGGGAGAGAGAGAGAGAGAGAGTGGGAAATGACATGCTGGAAAGGAGCCACAGGCTGGATTCAAACCTGGGCCACCTTCTTGGAAGACCATAGCCTCCATACATAGGGTGCATGCTCTAACCACTGTGCCACCAGCGCCCCAGTACATCTTTTTTTTTTTTTTTTTTTTTAACAGAAATTAGTATTTGTATCCTGGTTTGAGATGCCCCTCTGGTTCCTACCAGGCATGTGGACCATCCTGCAGTTGCAGTTCTCCACCAGGTATCGTGTCTCACAGTCGATCCGGCAGGCTGTGATGCTGTAAGTGTTGAAGAAGTCTGAGTCCATCGGCGTGGCCTTGCAGTCCCCCCACGGTGGAGGCAAGTACGTCAGCTGAGAGAGAGAGAGAGAGAGAGAGAGAGAGAGAGAGAGAGAGAGAGAGAGAGAGAGAGAGAGAGAGAAATAGAAGTGACAATGCAGAACCACTTAAGCTTTAGAGCCTGCTGTCTACTGAAAACCCTCTCTGGTGCCCTGTTAATCCGCTCATATGACCTTGTACTCTCTGTCAATATGATGATAAACTAGTTACTCTGTCCGCATGTGAAGCCCATTACACATTTATTGAATTTGGCACAGAAAATGAATCTGGTTCCTGAATGCATCTGCATAGTGGTGCCTGATGCATCTCTCCTATGCTTCTCCTGTTCCTATTCTCCCTGTCTGCCTTTCATTGTATTGCCCCTCATGCAGGAGCTGAATAGTATCAGCTGTGCGGCACAGTACAGATGTGGATGTTGTAATTTGTGCTCTAAACAGCTCTGCTGCAGCACAAAAGTGTGGAACCATGTTCCTTGTATTGACAATGTACATTTTCTAGCAATAAAGTATAAAAGTAGACATGGACATCTCTGCAGCCACATGAAAGACTCAGAGAAAGCTTCTTCCCTCAAGCCATCAGGTAGGTATACTCAGTGACCTCTACAACTCAGTCTTTCACACTGTGCTCTGTGAATCCTTTGCAGTGCACTCAAGTGTGTATTTAATTCTATTAAAAAGTTACAGCTGTGACTAAGTGTAGGTTTGTAATCCCACTTATTCTCACTTTACTATCATCCAACTTGTTTGAGCAAGTTCTTCTGTGAATTTTCTCACACTCACCAAATATGAAAACTCTTAGTGGTCCCTATGCTCATGCATTGATGATAGATGCAGCTAGCTGTGAGAACACACTGACTATTAACAAAAATAGCAAAGCCTCTCATGTATAAAAAAACAACACATTTACACTTCATGATACTATTTCTGTGATTCAAATGTATTGCACAAATCTCTTAAAGCCCCTGTGAGGAGTAATCAGCTGGTTATGAAACACACTGACATTTAAAGAGATGCCTCTTTGTGAGCTACATAAACAAACCGTCAGCAACAAGACTATTTATATAATGTTATGATTCATGCCTAACATCTGAGTAAGGGTTACTCATAGTAACTGGTACAAGAAAGCAGTATGAGACATTTTGTCACACATGTACAGAACAAAATCAACAAAGAGATAAGCTGTCCTGCTTTGTCCACAAGGGGGCGCCAAGATCAGTAAAATAAAAAGTTCATCATAGGAGCTTTAAGTTTGTCTTAACTGAACACTGTATTTCAGGCATGTAACCAAAATCCCACTGCTTGACAATAGACCTGAAAGTTATTTCCTATTCGGGCTTATTCTTGTGGCAAAAAATTGCTTGACCATAAGAGAGACAACAACACTAGTGCCTGGCCTCTATAATTACAGCCTCTATAGAACATAAAAAATTAAAAAAATATATCCCTTCAACTCCGAAACAAGCCATAATTGATTCTTGTTTCAACCTAGGGTTAAACCACACTGCACCTTGTGGTAAAAGTAGACCTAAATCACTCCAGGAGAGTGCGTTTTTGCATTTCCTATTAACATATCAGCTGTGTCCATTTACATTTTAGCTGCCTTAAGAAAAAAAAAGGGTCCCAATTTGTTGTATTAAATGAGGTGGGAAGCTATAAAGCAGCCCATGTGTTTCCGTCTCATCAGTCCAAACAGTGCATCACTGAGTGCTCACACAGCAATAAATTAAAGGTCCCAGTTATGATTTAGGGACCTGCACTTTAGGATCTGTGCCGGAGTGCAAGATGCAGCCACGTGTGTCGTGCCACGCACTGGATTTGGTTACCAATAACCCGAGGTGTTCAACATGCACATACAGCACACAGGAGCCTAATCTGGAGGTTGTGATGATTCCCCTGCTTATTTTCACATCAAGGATGTTTCCACAAAGTCAAACAGAACATAAAAACTATCAGAGCTGGGTAAAATATGAAAATCAATAATAGGTGCTTGTATGTCTTCTCACCTCCTCACTTGGGCTAGACCTTTTGGAGGAGCTGTTTGAATAGGAAATGGCTCTTTTACACTCAGAGTTCTTCTATTGGATTTCTCTTCTTCATTTTCAAAAGCTCCACTCAGCCATCCTGATCCACCTTGTGGCAACATTACTTCCCATTGGTTTAACTTGTGCTTAAGCTTTAATTCTGCAAATGTGGAGAGAAGTAGGTCTGGCATGAGAAATTTCAGGACACGCTAGCTGTGCTGTTAGCTGTTTCACGACCATGAAGAAGAAAACAAATCATGTTAAGTTGGTGGACTTATTTCCCCCTTTTCATTTGCAAACGAAAAGGCGAGTCAGCAAGATTCTGACGTCAGAAGAGGAGGAAGAAGAGATGGAACATTTTTAAAGTTGTTGCTTTTCATGTTAAGTAGGAGGAAATTGCAGATTTTTTCTTTTGTAGGATCTCAGTGAGTGACAGTTTGGCCGGCTGAAAGGAGTCCAACAGTTTTACACTGCAGGGCTGAAGAAAGGAACTGAATGAATTTGAGCAAACTGCATTAGATTAATGAGGAGTGAGCCTGCCAGCCATAGAAATAAATAAACAAACACAGACAGACAGAGCAGTCGCCAGAGATGGGGAGGAGACAGTATTAAAGAGAGTGGAACTGTATTGGATGAATTGAAATGTATGCAGGGGAAGAAAAAGAAAGAGAGAGCTGGGGAGAAATAGAGGAAAACAAAGAGGGACAGTTTCCTGCAGACGCGACATTTGCAGCATGCAAAGTCTCGCTGCAGCCCGCCGACACTGGATCACACTCAGTAGTAGGGTGGACGTGGAAGGACTGAGATCACTCCAAAATCCATCCCCTTCTCTCCTCCATTCATTATGCATGCTTCTGTAGCATATTAGGGACAAGAGTGTGTGATTTGTCTGGCTGTATGCTCCCTATCACACATGCACAATTATTCAGAGCAAAGTGGAATAACCTAGCTCATTTAACTGAGCATGAAAGACTTCTACAAGCTGAGAAAGTTTGTGTTTCTATATTACTGTTTAGGCTCTGAGTATGTGACAATGAGAGCTGCACAAAGACTCAAGCTGGGATTGTTATAAATGAGGTACTTGCCCTAACACTGACGGCTCGGCCATTTATTTCCAGCTTCTTTAACCTCAGTGACTTTAAGGAAGAATAAGAACTAACTGTCCTTTACGACTTTGACGTCATTTATGGGTCTGACTTCCTGCCTTGCCTTCTATGTGAAAAACAGGATTGATTCCCAGCCAACACTATGTCTTTAACCTTTTTTTGTGTGGAAGCAAAAAAAAAAAAGAATTTGTCCTTCAAAACACAGCAAAGTGCTGAGAGCGCAGAGCTTACCATGTGGGACGCCTCGTTTCAACTCCCAAGGGTCCAACAGAGCCTTGAACGAGGCGAGTTACAAATAAAAAACTCTCCTGCATGGCTTAATCACAGAGGACCATGCTCAGTGATCATAGAGAATACCAGGACACATGTTGTGTACATGTTCTTTTGCTGTTTACTTTAATGAAAATACTAATAAAAAAATACTCCTCAACTAATACAAATCCTGCTTTTTTAAAATAAATATTTTTTTTTTTGCAGGAATCTTTGCCTTTATTGGATAGGGCAGCTCTCGAGAGATGAGGAGTGAACCTGCGGCCACGACTTAAGCCTCCATAAATGGGATGCGCGACATAACCGCCAGTTTATCTGGTGCCCCAAGTCCTGCTTTGAAAATGAGTTCTTCTATTAGTGATATTAACTCCTTGCACTTGGGGTTGGAGCCAATCCTAGCCGTCACTGGGCAAGGGGCAGGTTAATACCTGGCAAGGTCGCCAGTCAATCACAGGGAGGTTAAACTATGTGTATAAGAAAAATCCTTTTAAGGTCATAGAGGAATAAATTAACATATAATGGCACTACTTCCACTGTTAAAGGACCATGCAGCGTGTGTGTGTGTGTGTGTGTGTGTGTGTGTGTGAAGGAAAAGGCTGAAATCTGTGTGGAAAAGAAAGTTAGGAGGCAGTCATTAGTAGTTTCAGATGTAGCCACCCTTTTTAGATTTCGGGGAGTTATTAGATTCAATATTCATGGGAAAATATCACTAAGTGCAGTTAAATACATCCCAATTGTGTCTCATGTGGTTTTACACTGGTAAACCAACAGAGATGGTCTCTAATAAGCGGTCCAACTGAACAGCTGGTGCTCACTGTTTGAATTTCAAATGATTGAGATTCTGACTGGCCGGTTTCAGTTAAGCTCTCAGTTTGGTGGGAGTGGCGGGTTCAGGGCAGAGGCATCAGGATGCAGCAGAAAGATCCTCCAGATGGTTGTAGATCAAGAGGAGTGATCTGCAGAGTGAGAGGGCTACTGGGATGTGAGCCACAGCTTGATCAACCCAGACAGGGTCAACTGGGCCATGCAGGACTTCTGATGGTATAAGCCCTGAAACACTCCCAGTGTTCGGAGAACAGAACAAGGATGGGGTAAGCCCCATCATGGGTTTATGTTTGTTTTAAACTACATATGGATTTTTCCAAATGTTTGTGTTGATACCAGTTTATAAACCACCAACTGCAGAGAGAAATACAGACCTCTCGAAAAGTTCTGCTCGGCTGTATGAAAGTTGAGCACGTGGCATAGAGAGGGTTAAAAACGTGTTTATTTACTTAAAACAACTAATATACAAGAGCCTTAAGGATTAACCAAAAATGTAACTGAGCGGCATAGAACATCCTTTATTAACTTTCCTTTGAAGACTAGAAAACTAGCAATTGTGTGAAGACTGAAAGGAATTGAAGCGAGTACTATTTATTCACTGAATTCTATGGGTATACACCATAAACTGTATATAAAGATGGACGGATCAACAGCTGCCTGGGAGAGAAGCCAAATTATTGGCCTATTATTATAAGCCTCCTCTCTGTTAACAGATGGGACATGGGTGTCAAACTAAAAGGTTCAAATACATGATGCTGTTTTGTCAAACCTGGATTCTGTTGTCATTTAAATTATCTAATTATATTTCATGGCAAAGTTTTCATTTCTTCTGAGTAGTTTTGTTTTTATTAGTCAATTGATGGAAGAAAAGATCGGATGTAACACCATGATGTTCTGTAGACAGATGCAGTGTTCTGTCCCGGATTAGCAGAGTAGAGGAGGAAAGGTTAGACAAACTAACAGCACAGTTATTGAACTGTCCATGGTGTCTGCTCTGAACTGACACAAGAATCTGATTTGCTGTGGACTGTTATGGACCTGAGGGCACAAGTTAAATGTGTGCTTCGGTTATAAGAGGGGGCGCGGTGCCAATTTGGTGGTTCCACCAGCCAGCTTCCTTCTGTGCATGTCTTGGGTGTATATATACAAGGCCATTACAAACACATGAAAACAAAAACTAATATTGCCAATTTAGTTATAAAAGGCTCAAAGCAGTTTGGCTGACTAATAGGAAATATCATTTATTTTCATTGCTATGCAGATGACACACAACTTTATGTCTCCATAAAATCAGCACAGTTAAGTCTCAGTGTAGTTAATGATACATTTGATAAGCTGGCACCCTCCATTAAGACATTTTAATCACAGTTCAGTCCTCTTTTTTGTCCACTATAAATCTTTTTACGTAAGTTTTACTTTTTAATCACTCCATGCTCATCCTGGCTTATAAATACCTGCATGTTACCTAAGATCTTGAATCAATACTGTGCTCTGCTAGCATTCCCCTAATCTGAACTTTAAACTAAAGGAAAGGGGGAGAGAGTATTTACTGAGGGGAACAACTGGAGCAGCCTTCTATTTGAATTTCATTAACTTTGTTTTCATAAATTGGATTTTTCTAATTAAAAGGCTTTCTATGCAGAACCAACTTTAATATTGAATTTGGATTACATCATTTTTTGCTCTATAAATAGAATTAATCATTATTACTATCAAGCTGGGGATGGTTCATTTTGTCCTTATACCCTATAAACAGTACAAGTACTTTGAATTTCCCCACTGGGGATGAATAAATGATTATCTTATCTTAAGTAAATACTGCTTGCTGAAAATTACATTTCAATCCAATATTCTCCCTGACGTAATGTGCTGCAATACATTTTTCTGTGTGATTACTGTCATCATTTCCAAGCCATACCCGTTGTTCCTGACAGGAGACGAAGGTCTGAAACCCCGGCGCCACTCCAAAGCCCAGCTGATCAATGAACGGCGGCTCATCCTGGGTGTGGATCTGAACTTTGATCCCCGCTTCAAACGATGTCTCATCTGTTGACAAGAAGAGGTTAGGACATTTACAACAGGGACGATGATTTGTATGCACACACCAGCCTACTGGGTCTAGCCGGCAGCAGTTGTAACTAATCAAATGGAGAACAAGCTTTGCTGCAGAGGAACATGTTCCAGTCAGAGAGGGATAAAACATACCGGATACTAAACTTGAAAAAATAAATAATAATAAAAAATAAATAAACACTTTACTGTTCACTTTAAGTCCTATTTTTAAAACATCCTTCCAATAGAGTAACTGCTTATTCAGTAGTTTCTCCTTTGGATTCATGAGGTTGACAATCACACTGTGGTCTTGTGGGAGTTAACAAAAGCTGGGATAAGGAGCGAGAGGATAAAGAAGATGGACCTCCTAAGTAGGCAGGTGTGTGACAATAAGTACCCCACAGGAGCCGTATTTACTGCAGGGGGAAATGAAAGTGGAAGGATAAATTAATAAATAAATGATGTTGAGGATAAAAGGAAAATCAATACAGCTGACAGTTTCCTTCGCTACAGCACTCTGCTGTATAGATTTTAAATGAAGTAGATTGGCTTCTTTGATACTGAGAATGGGGGGAGGAGGGACATCACAATGACACGGCGCCTCGGACCGGTAGTAGTGCAAACATATTTCTTTCACATTAGCAGAGAACTGGAGCTGCTTATCATGGTGATGGCAGGCTAGATTCAAGAGATTTAGATCCTCTGAGCACTGGCTCTGGGATAAACTAGGATGTCTGTTTCCCGCCGCCTTTCTTCCAGCTTGTCACTTGGCATCGCCTTCTAAGTACCAGGCTTTCTCTCTGTTTTCCATTAAAGAGCTCAGGGATGCGGCTGGATTTCAGCATGAGAGCTGCGACAAAGAGCGACAGACTTTAACTGTTACACATCGCTCTTCCGAGACAGGATTTGAAGCTGTTTTCCTGTGCTGCCAAGTCAAATGCTTGAGGCTCAGAGCCGCAGACAGACATGAGAAGTGTCCAAACTTCTGATTGCAAAAGCATAAGTCATCTTTAATTTGCCATTGCCATCTGTCACCCATATGGAGACGAAAACATTGATATGAGGGCTCAAATTTGGTTTCAACCAAAATGTGATCATACTCTACAATATACACATTTAATATAGACATGTAGGTGCATCAAAGTTATTAACATCAGCCTGAGCTTTGGTGTGACATAATTCCAAATATGAAGAATTAAACTAGAAAATATGTAAAAAAAAAAAGTTTACATGACCTGGAGGAAATACTGTATCCTGTATACTGTAATACTGTATACTGTTTTTAACTCCCAAGAATAGTTGTTATTTTTTGGGCCTTTTTGCCTCCTTTAGATAGGACAGCTGAAGAGGAACCGCAGGGATGAGAGAGTGGGGATGACATGCAGCCGAAGGCCGTGATCTGATCCGAAACCCACAGTGGCTTCAACGAGGACCACAGCCTCCGTACATGGGGCATGCAACATAACCGCTAGGCCGTTGGCGCTCCCACAATAGTCTTTTTACTGAAAGCAGAAGCTCAAATTTGATGAAATGTCATCATCACATCTGCCCACGTAAGATTTCTCTTTTTAATTTTGTAGTCAGCTCTCTTGTTTTGTTATTAAATTCAGTGTTTGCAACTGTTGCCTCACATCAAGGGCTTGAAACACCCAGCAGGTTTATTATTTCTGTGAGGAGTTTCTGTCTGTGTGCGAAACCACATATTAAAGTCCTGCCTACTACGTACTCAAACAGTATAAACTGCACACTAACTTGACATTTAGTTAGCAACATTCTTATCTACATCCTCTCTGTGTTAAATGAATACAGATTGTGTATGACAGGTGAGCTTCCCTATCATGCTTAAAAATGTTGGCCGTTCTCCATACACAACATCGCTAATATGAACAAACTACAAACTCAATGACATCACACTTGAAAGTAATTGTTTTCAGACACAGCGTATTTGTTCTCATAATGTCCGTCTGTGTTTCCTCTGTCTGTTTCCTCCCACAGTCCAAACACATACAGGCCAGGTGAAGTCAAAACTATGCCTAACTGCCTGTTAAACTAAAAGTGATAATCCATATATGTAGAGTGACAAATGCATTGATTGTCATCCTATATGGCAGTAACCTCTGTGTAATAAAGGCTTTGTGCTTAAAGCATTCATATATTAATTTCTTCATATAGAGACAGATTCATCAATTTCTTCTTGTACCTTAGAATGTGTTTTCACAATGAAACCCTCAGGTGTACACGGTTCTAATCATGAAAATACAGACAAGCTCCCGCAGACTTCTTTTTGAAGGTCATCACTTCTTCTTTTACAGAAAACGTATTCCTTTGATGCCACCACTTCAACTTCTTTCTCGAGCCCTGCATCACTAAGCACTTGTTGCTTCATATAAGATCCACAGATTCTGTTATTAGCATTTGACAACATTAATGGTTAAAACTAATACCAAATATAACCTTTAATAGGTAATTAAGATCAAATTCATAAAGCAATACCCTGCCCAATGTCGATTTTGACAGCAAATCTTTATTTTGTTATTGTAAGCTGTCCTGGTTATGTATGTGTTTTTAATTAAAGGCAGGGTTGGTCATTTTCTAAAACTAGCATGATTTTGAAAGTGGCATTCCCGCAGTGCGCCGTCTGCACCCACCCCCTCCCCTCAGTGCTCCCTCAAAAGCCACGCCCCTCACTTACATGCACAAGCTCCGTTGTTCCAGAAGTGGACCTTTTTCAGAGAGCATATGAATTATTAATGTTTGTCAGGACCTTAAGACAATTTTAACCAAAATCTTAAAAAGTGTATCTGGAGGAAATGACTAACCCTGCCTTCAACTTGTTAAACTGTGAAATGAAGAATTTTTGATTTAATGTCATTTTCCTTTACAACCGTGGTGATCTCAGGTAGACTGCTGCAACACATTCATGGAGGAAACAGTATTCAGGGTGATAGCAGGGGTAAGATCTTTTTGTCCTGCACATCAAGTCAATGTCTGATCTCTGCATTCTCTGGTAATGACCAACTTGTTAGAAGTCGTAATGCGCAACATGAGAAACAGAACACATAACATTTTTAAAGGGAGCTGCTGCCCATGTTTGGTTCGCCGTGTTTGGATGTGGATTGCTTTTTATATATTTAACAGCTTTCTTTGATTTCACCCCTTTTTATCTTGATTTCTGTTTTTATAACCTGTGATGTGATGTTGTCTTCTTAACTTTTATATTATAAATTAGCTTGCAACTTTAACTTTTTTGTTATGTTTTTCTTTTTCTTTAATTGTTTTGCTTTAGAGCCTTAACTGCCTTTTAAGACCTACCAGTTGTATATTTTCTTATTTTCTTATTACTTGTATTTGCCTTATATATATATATTTTAGAAATCTCTCCATTTGGCCTTACTGCTGATGTTTCATGTATTGTTGTCCTGAGTTCCTGCCTTTGCTTTGACTGTCTAAACCACTTTGTAAGAGTCTGTTTTTAAAGGTGCCATTTCAATAAAGATATGATTATTATGATTATGATTATTATGATTATTGAGCCTGTAAAAGCAGCGGATAAACGATCATGTGATATTCTTAGTTGTTCTTTGTGTTAATTTGTGCGTGCACATGTTTGATAAATACCCATCTTCTTGTTCTTGCAGACAGATCCAACGCTAGAAACATGAGGCCACAGGTGTTTGAACTAGCACATTATGCATTGCACGGCATTTAACCAGATTAAACAGCCGGCTGCTAAATGCTGTTAATATAGGACTAATTAATTGGCAATCTGCATTATACTCCGAGACAAAAGCTCCAGGTTTTTGAAAAACAATGACAGTATTATATCAGGGATTTAGGGCAATGGGTGGTTGATACGTCTCCAGGATTTAAGACAATAGTATGTTGTTGGTTTTTCAAGGCTTTTGTTGTTGTTTCACAGCTGTTTAGCACTGCTATCAAAATATACTGACACCTGCAATCTAAAAATACAGAAGGTAATGCTCAGAATGCAAAGTGATTAAAAAGAATGTAGAGTAAATAAACATCAAAAACTAACATCATAGTATGTAACAATGTGTGATCGTGGCAACAGAACCCTTTAGTTTCCACCAAACCCCCTCTTTTAAAAGTATTAAATCATTAAATAATCTTACATAAAATGCGTAACGCATCATTATAAATAAAACATTAAGGCCTGGAGAAGTGGAGATTCATATTTAAATATGTTAGTCACATAACATCTTTTTGCTTCATGTTTAATTACTATCACAGTGTTTCAGTGACCACACCAAGCTGCCTCTTTACATTCATTTTTTCTGCACAGATAAAATATTGATAAAAACACACTGCAGCATATGTCGCTGCATTAAAATTAAGTAGCAGGGTCTCTCTGTGAAACACACAGAGAGGACTCTGTGTTGATGAAGGGTCGGCTCAGAAGGGAAGATCCTGTGGCATTAATTGATTTTATATCCGGCAAATGGTTCTGCTCTCTTTTGATTCATGTGGACTAGAAGCCTGTTTGACAAGTGATGTAATTATACTCAAATGAAATCATATTTTCCAGATCAGTAGCCATCTGTCTTTATACAGTTTAGTCGATAATATCTGGTGGACACAGCGGGTGCATTTCATATGATCAGAGGGGGAATTTTTCAGGATCACCACTCATAATTTATGAAAGAGGTTTAGCGGTTATATAGAATTTCATATAATCAGATGCCTACCTCAGCAGAAATCTGCTACGAATGAATCCATTTTTAACCCATGTGGTCTAAACTGTGCACATGGGCATGGATCAAAAGCACCTGCAATGAGTCCAGACTCTATCTGAGGGATCCAAGAGGATTCTAAAAGATATTTTTTCCCTCTGAGATTTCTTAAAGCACTGAAAATAAACAAGCTACTTTGGTGTTTTGTTGATTTAATGAAATCTATTTCCAATTTCTTCAAGTCCCCGCTTAAGGGCAAACAGAACCACCAACCTAATGGGTTTCAGCTGAGGTCTTAAGAAGTGGCAATAGGATGTTTGTATGTGATGTATCCTCCAGGAAAGCTTACCAGTCTCTCCCCATACAGGAAGGTATTCATCCTGCTGGATGTCCAACATCAGCTCCAGGCCGTTCCCCATCCCGCCCTTCATTGTCACCAGGAGGGGTCGCCCGTCTTGGCCAGAATTAAAGGTGTAGCACTTCCCATAGCGTGTGAATATCTGGAATACACACAGAGACAAATACAGAGACATTAGCTTAGCATGGTCACAACAAGATGACAGATCTGCACCACATTCCTTTTTTTTAAATATATGTTTTGGGCCATTTTTTCCTTTATTGGACAGGACAGCTGAAGAGAGACAGGACATTTTGGGAGGAGAGTGCAAAGGGACGACATGCAGCAAAGGGCAGAGGTCGGATTCAAACCCATGTGGTGCATGACATAACTGCTAGGCTATCCAGCGCCCCCTGCATCTCTTCTTAAACCAAGTTTGGCCCAAAGGTAAAATCTCTGTTTCAAGCTGTACCCACTTAATGATTTTGAGGTAAAGAGTAAGACCAAACCAGTACTGAGCAGTAACCAGTTCTTGTGATGCTTTCCTACTCAGACTTCAGAGTCTTTTCTGTTGAGATGCTGCTGACAAACTGAGCCCCCCATCAGCCCTCTTAGTGCTGCATGATACAGTGAGAGCTTGAGTGAATGTGACATGACTTGTATTTCTGAGAGGACTATGCTGTGCCTGAGAAACCTTATACACAACAACAATGACTGCTGACAACAATGTGGATCTTGCAGAGAGCGACTCAAGTTTTTTTTTCTCCACATGCAGACTGTTACAGTTCAGTGAATAATCAATAAGTCAATCGATAGAAAGGTAAACAAAAACTTTGTTGTCAATTAGACTTAGAATTTAATCAAAAGGACAAAAAAACCCAACTCCATTTCAAGAAGCTAAAACCAGTGAATGTTTTATATTTTTGGTCAAAATTAATTCAGCCTGAATCAAATGATCACTGGGAGTACTCGCCTTCAAATTTGGATTGAAAGCTTCTGGAAGAGAAGAAGGACAGATCAAGGCAGCTCAACACGCTCTGGTTCCACTTTCATCTCCTCAGTTCTGACACAATTCTGCAGCTGGAACTCAGAGTTCAATGAATATGCCTCACTCCAGTCAAATCCTAACTCTACAGGCACTCAGATTACATTCCTGGAGTTTGTGCTGTCTCTGTTTGTGCAAGTATTTATGACTTATAGCAGCATCAGCTGCATAGACACAAGCAGGAAGCAGAGACCTGTTGGCAAAGACGTGATTGCCAGTGAACTAATGGATGTATAATTAAATCACAGACATTAGGAAATGGAAAGCCATGGCCAGCATCCAAAAGAAAACGTTCTCCTGCTTTTTTTTCTTTTTTTTTGTCAAGAAACATGACTGTGCGCCCTGTATCAAAGCATCCTCGCTCACAATTAAGTTAATATTAACCTTCAGCATTTTGACGTTCATAGGAGGAAATGGAAGAAGGAAGTGGAGGAGCTGTGCATGAAGAAGAAATGACACGAGGCAGAAAAAGGTAATAACTGAAATATGTCTCCTTCTTTATGTGCTCCTCTCTTTGTCTGTGTTCTGATGCTGTACAAATGACTACATCTACTACAAATACAGAGAGAGACTGTACAAAAGGGTATTTTCTGCATGAGAAAGTTTAAGCTTATTTCTGTATTCAGACGACCTTGGGAACACATAAGAAGGCGTTGATTACATAGGTGACGTATGAGTCAGACGTTAGCGCTTGATGACAAATCAGTAAAATGTCACAAACACCACTTTCACAGAGCTGGGGAAAAAAAAGTCCAGCAGTGTCTGAAAAAGGGACAGAAAATCAACTATAATATGAATCCTGTTCAGTGAAGTGTGTGGGACAGAATGCAGCATGAATCACGATGAATTGCCTCCCAGTATGCAGTTATACAGTGTGAGCTTTTAAGACACAAAGTGGTGAATATGTAATAAATAACCTTCTGAGATTCTGACACAGTACGCGATCCGACCTTTTGAGTGTGCAAGTGGCAAAACTGAGTCAAAATCGGTGCCTGAAAACGCCTGCATATGTGCTGTGAATGTAGAGCGTGGATGAACAACATCAGCAACATTTCCCATGAAATCCATCTTAGTCCTGGGGGTCGCCTTTCTCCGTAATCAGATCGTTTGTAATCATAACTCTTTGGAACATCAGGCAGGGAAATCTAAGGCTAACATGGCACCACAAGCAAAAAACATAAAGTAATTTTCTGATAGTTTGAGACTTTGGTACGGACACATTTTCCCCATGACATGAGCATGCAGCAAAAGGCAAATATGTAAATATATAATAAAAAAACTGAATAGAAATCATCTTTGTTTGAAATTAACTATTTTAGGGTTCACCAAGATTGATTTTTTTCGGAGAAAGGCTGAGGAGTCAGAAAAAAGAAAACAGTTGGTTGGCAGATTCAAATCAAGAGAAGAAAACAGTGATAAGAGCGATCATTAGTGATTGTATGAAAGGCTCATTCACACGCTCACAACTCAATTAGAATATGAATGAGCATGCTTACATGGAAGATTGTGCGTGCGTGAGTGTGTGTGTGTGTACATTATTCTGCGTGCTTTTGTGCAGCCGCCCCTGCTCTCCATCTGTGTATTGGTTGATAATGTGGTAATTTACTACAGCAGGCCTGTAGTCAGAGTTGCTGTGGTAACCAGGAGATTGTTCTGGCTGTGGTGAGTGAAGAGCAGCAGCAGCAGCAGTGGGTGCCGCTGCTGACCTTGGGGAGTTAGGATCTTCATTGTGTTGTGTGGCTTTGAGATTTTTTGTGCTGAGTCTCAACATGGTTTCTTCTTCACGTCTGTTTATAGAACAGCCTGTCTGTCTTGTTCCATTATGATTGCAGAGTTTGTCCAGAGGAACATTTTCCCAAATACATCTTGTCGACTCAGGAGGAGTTATGCATCATGTAGGAAGAGAACAGAAACCCTGATCAATGCATCAACAAATCCTTTAACTTAAAACAGAAATGAACTGATTATAAATCAAGGGGAGCAGCTTCAAATGGCTAATACAAGTCAACTGTGTTGCCCAAATGCATTTAGCATTAGCAGTGAGCATTCATTTGTGTTCCCTTAGGAGCCCTTCTAAAGAGATATTGCTCTGAAACAGCTCAACACCAAGCCCTACACATTACATTAAAAATGACTTCATCTTCTTAATGTGTTGCGGATATTAAATATTTAAGTCGACCCCACTTAAGAGGGAAAACACAGAAAGAGACATCACCCTCTTCAGTTCTTGCGGGGTGTAAAAATGTCAGCTCCTCTCTCTTCAATTAATAATTCACAGAAAGACAGCTCGACACTGTTGAGATGGCTCTCGGCTATCCTTCACAAGACAAAGTGACAGGGATGCACAAGCTGTTCCCTAAAGTTGCCAAGGAACCACTCCCCCCCCTCCCCCTTCCCCGCTCCTTTGCATCAGATCTAAGCAAAAAGGTGTGATGTGTTGTGACAGGTACATAAACACACACAGCTATAATAGACTGCCTGGGTTTTACTCGGCACGGAATCAAGTCAGCTAAAAATATAAAATTGTTGATGTTTTCACTGTGTTTTTTATGCAATCAATTTATGGTCCACACATACAATAAAGTCAGAGTGGATAGCAAAGTGCTCCAATTTATCTGTCATGGAACTTGATCTGGGGAGTGAGTGTCAGCGTAAGGAAAAAAATCTGAGTAAAAATCCAACAAAACTCCACAACAAAATAGTTATAGCACAGTGTATCTTCTTCAAGCTGGAAAAGCCAATCTTTTTTAATTGTAAAAAAAAACCCCACAACATTCTGGTTTTTGAAGCTACTGTATATAGATATATTTTTTAAATGGTGGCTAAAATCAATTGCCCCAACTTCCACTTTGGCAAGCACTCGTCCTGCAACAGAAACTTTTACAGGGATTATAATGCTCCCAAAGCAAACTTTAGACTTTGGTTTCTGAGGATCAAATCAGAGCCTGACTGATATTTCTGAAGCAGGTGTGGAGCAGACAGGACTCACACGTAAATTATAAAACAATGATAAATGTTCTTAATTAAATTCATTGTTTAAGAATAATATCCTGAGAACACTTGTTTAGACACATTTGGGCCATATTCCATAAAAAAAATACTCTGTTTCCATTTTGCTTATCAGTCCTCATATTACTGATGAATATGGTGGCTTAAAGCAAACCTCCGCATCAGTCACAAAATCTCATATCCATTTTGCTCTAGTGGAAGTTTAGTAATGGTTTTTAATACTTTTAGCACTATTGGCAGGCGGTTATTCTGGAAAAATGCTATGATTGGTTTGGCATCTGTCATGTTTTAATATAAAACATTAAACTTTAATTTTGAAGCCAACGTAGAAGAGAAGACCTAAAGTTGCTCATGATCATAAAGCATTGAGCGACTAAGCAAAGCGCTGATAAGGTCTGTGACAAAATGTGAGAGGAGGAACTTTTACAAATGAAATATTTACTAGAGTTTATCATGCTGTAGGAGATTATTCTGTCCACCTGTTTCACTGAATGTTTCCAAAAAGACTCTTCTAAGTTGTCAGAGAGCAGGTGTGAGTTAAATGAATGAAGAGAGAAAGATTTTTTTCCATCAGCTAGAGTCAAAGGAGTCACATCTGCTCACTAAAAGGTGTACGCTTGTTCAGCTTTTTGGACTAATGATGCTACAGTACAGCTGGTTGATCAAATAGAATTGGAGTATTTTTGCCAAGGGGCAACCTCCAATGAAGGAAGTACAGAAGTGCAAATGCCTGCAGTTCTTCAAGGGACTGCTTTAGGCTGGCTCCAAGAGCCCATCGGTCACATACAAACCACATTAAAAAATGCCCGTTTTTACTGGAGAAATTAACAGGTTTACAACCTGGTTCAAAAAAACTTGGTCTGATTAGTTATTGTCCTCATAGACTCACACTGTACGGAGGGTGAATTTTTTTATAACGCATCCGTTTTGATTTTATGAACGAGTTATCCATAGTTAGGCACGTAGCCGACTTGATTGACAGGTGGGCGAGTTGTAATGGTTTGTCAGGAGTTCTAAAACCTGCCTCAACTCCAGCTCTCAGTCTGTCGTTAGGTTGACTGTAAGTTAAGCTGAGACAGGAATTACAGCATGGCGGATGCTGCCAGCCT